TGGAGCAGAGATAAGTTTCACTATTGCAGTTGAACTTTATTTCTCTTACAGTTAAAGCTTTCTTTTCGTATACAATAAATTACAAAACTGCCAGTACTCAGCCAGTACTGAAGCAGTAGTGGTTAGCAGTACTGGTACCAACTCTGGCAGCCAATACTGGTAAAATGTTATCATCCCAAATTTACGCCAACTCTGGCGCCAATACTGGGTGCCAGTACTGCGCCAGTACTGCGCCATTAGTAAATTTTTGATTGGGTATGTATATATGTATATAGGTATATATTTTAGTGAAAATTAAACACTTTTACGTTAATTCATTTATTTTATAATCGTTAATAATTGCGTGTCATGTTGATTCAATACCATATATGAAATCAACATCAAAGTGCATATAGATTTTATTTATTATATCCAATGAAGACACAAATACGTGAAAATTGATGACGAGAGTAATAGTTATGAAATCGTCGTCGATTGAACCTAAAAGAAAAATTTGCCCCGAAGTGTAATCGAATTTAGTGCTGATGAGAGTCACCTTTGCCTTTCATCAATTTTCTTGGGAATTAAAAAGCGTAAATATATATTATTTTACTTTTTCCTTCTCTTTACGATTAGAGAGAGAGAGAGAGAGAGATAAAGAAAGAAAGAGAGAGGATTCTTCCTGCTTTAATCTCTGAATTTACACGCAAAAGTATGTATATTTGGACTTAATAGCTTCCCTGTGGGCAAAAAACCATGTTCGTTCTAAAAACGTTTTAAGGACGTTCTTAGAACGTTTCATGTCGGCCAAATAATGTTCTGGAACATTTTAAGAACATGGATGTTCAAATAATGTTCCAGAACATTATTTAGTGGACATGAAAAGTTCACAGTTCACACACAGTTCACAGAGACCGTTTCGTGTATCATTTCTAAAAATGATACACAAAACGATCTCTTTTTGATATAACTTATGTGCATCAAAACATTGCAAAGATTTGATGCAATTTTTGGTCTCAATTTGATACTTTTAGGAAAACTGTGGTAAAAAAAACCTACGCTAAATATAAATAGAAGCATGAAGAGAACAAGAAACCATTAAACAATCATCTTAATGATAAAATTAAATAGAAAAAAATTATACATATAGATACTAATAGAAAAAGAATTTTTAAGTGAAAAAAGTAGAATACGGTTTCCAACCATTGCGTCGACAATCCGTAAAGAAAACTATGCGTTTAACGACTTTTGGTTATAACAAAGAAAAATAATTCAAGATTCAAATGAAAAATTATTTGGCAGATAGCAAAAAGTAATGATAAATTTTTGTTGCCGATAATCGAATTACTCGATCCATGATAATTGTCGGCAAGGAAAAAAAAAAGAAAGAATTAAAAGTATAAAAAATGTAGAAAAGCATTCTTTAGCGGAAAAAGAGTAATTCCCCTATATTAAATTTTCATTTTTATAGCTTGTAAATTGAACAACAATGAAAAAAATTATCTTAAGTATAAGTTAGTTACTTCCTTTTCATTTTACGTATAGCTATATATACATATATATATATGAAAAAGCACTTATATTCAGGGACTGTAGCGATAATTGAATATCGTCATTTAATTACAAATATGAATTGTAATTAGTCAGCAATAATAATTGTCAATCAACTGATTAGACACATCATCGATTTGCACAATTTATTCTAATGATTCCTCTTCTTCGTCTTTGACTTGAGAATTATTTAAATACTTTCTTTTAATACTTATTAAATATATATATGTATATATATATATATATATATATTACATACATACCTATTTATATATATCTTGATGAGCAGTGTGTTATTTAACGACAAGCTTAAAAATAATTTTAAATATTTATTTATATAAATAATTTTTTTATAATACACAAAAGAAAAAATAATGTGTGTATATAAAAAAATATGTATATATTAAAGAAAAGTTACGCTGATGGCTTACGACACATCATATTTCAATGATAGGTTTAAGAACGCGTGGCGCGAAAATGAGCAGATGAGTAAATGTCAACGAGTTTTTTTTTCTTCAACATCTTTTTTTTTTTTTAAGTCTTGCAAATAGACATTAAAAAATGTCTTCTTTATAATATAAATTTTTCTTTTAAAACGACAGAAAAATGATTATATTTCTCAACTCATTAATCAGTATATTGTCAAAAATAACATTTCCACTTGTTTTTATTATATATTATTTTTCCTCCAATATAATTTTAATATAATATAATATTATATATAGTTTACATCGAGAGATTTTCATTTATGGATAAAAAAAATTATTGAGAAACATTATAATTTCTTAATTATAATTTTTTATAAACAATTTTAATGATAAATCTCGCAGAAAATGAGACTGACAACATTTATTTATAATTGCTTAATTATTGACAGCTCCTTGCTTTCCCAGAATCTCATATTTATTTTATATATATAAATATAGAACGCGTGATAATCGTAACTTATTCCATTTAATTATTTTTTTCATGTTTTAAAAAATAAAACCAATTTTTGTTGGAATAAATATATTATTGTTTAACACAGAATTCCCATTAGGTATTTAATCTTAACTAAAATTCTCATTTTTGGACAGAATCAAAAAAAAAAAAATTACCGAAATTTGAAAATGTCCTAATAAACATTTAAGGCCAGGTCCAAGTGAGGCAGCGCCATCTACATTGCAACTAAAATTTTGGAAAATTTTCAACAGCCTTTTCTTGAAAACAAGAAGGTAAAATGCTTTTTCCTTTATGGATAATTGATTATTGGCAAGATATACACCAGCTAAAACTTTTTTTGAGTTAAAATAATAAAAAAAATTTCATGTTAATAAATTAAATATGAGCGCACTTTTTTCACAAAAACTGTAACAGTACTTTCTCAGAAATTACAATCAAAAATGCCATTTCAATTTGGAAAATTAATAAACGCTAAAAAATACACGACCTAAGATTTACCAATCACGAAAATAAGAAAAAAAAATTTTATTAAATATTTAACATATTGATACTGCTTTACTGATTGTGACAGCCCATTGGTAGATTATGTATTTCAGGTGGTTAGCAACAGCGCCAATCTCCTCCTTTCGGCAAAACTGCGAAACGTCTGGTGACATATATAACCTGCCAAACGACTGTCATAATCAGTAAAATATGTTATGTTAAAATACTTTTTTTTTTTGTTATTTTCGTGATTGGTAAATCTTAGGTCGTGTATTTTTTAGCGTTTATTAATTTTTCAAATGGAAATTGCATTTTTGATTGTAATTTCTGAGAAAGTACTGTTACAGTTTTTGTGAAAAAAGTGCGCTCATATTTAATTTATTGACATGAAATTTTTTTTATTATTTTAACTCAAAAAAAGTTTTAGCTGGTGTATATCTTGCCAATAATCAATTATCCATAAAGGAAAAAGCATTTTACCTTCTTGTTTTCAAGAAAAGGCTGTTGAAAATTTTCCAAAATTTTAGTTTCAATGTAAATGGCGCTGCCTCACTTGGACCTGGCCTTAAAAATGACAAGAATAAAAAATCATAACCTCGAATGTAACCTTCCTCATCCAAAGTCTATAATAAATTATTATCGACCCATTTTCCTACTCCCGGAAAATTTTTTTTTTCTTGCTTTTAATTCTGAAAAGTATAAATGATTATATTATGCATACATACATACATATATAAAATTCCGATTGGCTCTCGCGTATTGGCACGCAAGTCGCTTATCCATAGAAAGTCTATACTAATAGTGACTTAATAGCACTATCGTGAATGAGATAATGCGATTACGTTTGCCATTTTCGATCCATTACTGCGAAGTTACGAGAAGATTGCAATAATTTTTCAACTTCTTATAATACTATTTAGAATTATTTTTCTCCCTCAGTTTATACTTAATCGAATTTTCCACATTGTTCATTCCTTTTCTTTCACTTAATTTCCATGAATGAAATATTTGTCTCAATAAAAGCAACCCAATCAAAAATTTACTGATAAGTACTAATAAGTATTGGCGCAGTACTGGCACCCAGTATTGCCGCCAGAGTTGGCGTAACTTTGGGATGATAACATTTTACCAGTATTGGCTGTCAGAGTTGGTACCAGTACTGGTAACCACTACTGGTTCAGTACTTGCTGAGTACTGGCTGAGTACTGGCAGTTTTGTAATTTCCCAAGAAGCACGTAATATAACCTCAATATCAAGGTAATATTACATGTAAGATTCGTAATATAACGTTGTAATATTACAGTAATCTTACAGTGATCTTAAAATGTCCGCCTCAAGGTAATATTACCGGTAATGTTACTGTAATATTACGCGCTAATATTAAGGTAATATTACCGGTAATGTTACTGTAATATTACCGGTAATGTTACTGTAATATTACGCGCTAATATTAAGGTAATATTACAGTAATATTGCAGTAATATTATACCGTAATATTAAGGTAATATTACAAGAGAATATTACAGTAATATTATGGGAACATTTCTTTACGAAAAAAATCTACCCATCCAGGGAATCGAACCCCGAACTCAAAGCACACGAGTCCAGAGTTTTACCAACAAGCCAAATTGACTTATAATATATTTATGTTTTTTATGCTTTATGAATAACTCAAATCAGTCTGTAATATTACTGTAATATTACCGTTTACATTACAGTAATATTCCCGGTAATATTACCTTGAGGCGGACATTTTAAGATCACTTTAAGATTACTGTAATATTACAGCGTTATATTACGAATCACACGTGTAATATTACCTTGATATTGAGGATATATTACGTGCTTCTTGGGAACCAACGTAAATGAAATATTTAAAAAAAAATAATTAACACATTTTTTTTGCTTTTCGTTTTTGAATCATATAGAGATGAATTTCCTCCTTCTTTCTTTCTCTTCTCTATAAATTGTATATGCATTGTAGTGAAGGCAAATATGGTACATCCTAGGAGAAGAGTCCAAGAGGATGTGCAATGATAGTGGAGGGGGTAGAGGGTTTAAGAGTGATTTTCCGACTATATAAAGGCAGAAAACGTGGTTCATCCTTGCTGTCACGTTATATTTGCCTTTGTCTATAGGATATTAAAAGAAAGGAAATAAAACGAATTTTAATCGCAGTTTTAATTACAAAAAATATTCCATCATGAAAACGGTGGGTCGTCATTCGCGTGATTCGGAATGATTTTTTTTTTTAATTGAAAAACAATTTTTTTTGTCCATCTGTGACATTTTGTGTGCTTTTTTTAATTTTTATGTTTTTTTAGATAAAATATCAGTGAAAGTGCGCATTTATGTGTGATTATCCAATAATTATCATAATCAGGAATTTATAAAGTGAAATTGTGAAGCAATTTTTTAAAACTCAATTTTCAAATAAAAAAATAATATAAAAAATATTTATTTATAAGTTGAATGAGCCACTTTTTTGCCATCATCTGACTCATTAAATGCCGCGTCGAGTGATAAATTCAAATAATATTTTTATTAATAAAATTGAAAAAAAAATTTTTTATTTTTATTTTCAATTTCAGATTATTTTCCTGGCGATAATGTGCGCCGCAGTAATCGCGGCACCCCAACAACATCCCAATGAAATAACAATTGTCAGACAGGAGGAAAACAATAATATTGGAGTCGATGGCTATCATTACAGTTATGAGCAGAGTGACGGTCAAAAAAAAGAGGAAACCGGTGAATTACAAAATCAGGGCACTGAGCAAGAGACAATTGTTGTCCGTGGTTTTTTTAGTTTCATGGGGGCCGATGGAAAAACATATAAAGTTGAATATACAGCCGATGCCGATGGTTTTCATCCCGTAGTTTCCGTTGCTTAAGAGCAAGAAAAAAAAAAAAAACGAAAATTCCCTCATCTTCTATTTTCCAGAATTTGAAAAAAAAATTTCCAGGAAAAATTTTTCAATTCTGACAAATAATGACATGAGATAATTTTAGCAGCGGTTCTCGTTTAAAAAAAAAGATAATCATCTAAAGGATCTCCGCAAAGTCTGATCCAGTCGTCTGGAATGTTTAATATCTACTTTTTCTATTTATATATAAATTCATTGTAGAATTTTATTTTCTTCGGGTAAAGTGAAAATTTTTCGCCGAAATGAAAATGAAAAATTACCGAGAATTTAGAAATTTTCATCTTTCATATAGCTTGCTTTTTATATAATAATAATTAAAAAAAAAAACTCTGCAAGGACAAATTTTCCATGTACCCGAAATAATAAATTTCACTTGAGAAAAAAATGTTTAATATTTCTTTCATTTTTTATAGTCGATCTTTTTGAAAACTGAATCGATTTTTTAAAAATCGAAAGAGAAATGGAAGCTAAAACAATTATTTTTCTATAAATTCCACTAAGTTTTTATTTTTAAAAAAAAGTTTTACAAACTTAGATCTAAACTCGTTAAAGACAAAAAAACGAGTTGTGAGATTGCAAAAAGAAATTCGCCTGGCACGATAACTCTTAACACACAAAATATACATATAAGTTTCTATATATATAATATATATATATATATTAGTACACAATATAAATGTAAAGATCATAAACCTTTATATACTATATACAATCAATTGTCACTACCACAAAAATTCATCAAAAAAAAAATATTCTTCGCATTAATTCTTTACTCAAAAAAAGAATAAGATTAATTTACCTCCTTCAATCCTTTATCCTCATTATTTTTAATTTTTTAAATGCAAACATTATGTAATAATTAATATATTATACTAAATATATTCTATATATAGGTATACGTATATATCAATATATTAATATAATTATATAATTATTACATAATGAATTTTTAATATTTTAGAATCGATTATTAATCGGAAAATATCAAATATATGAATTAAATTCACAATTTATAGTAAGAATTATTAAATAATTCGTCCATCTTTTTTTTTTAAATTAAACACACCAAAAAGAAGATAATGAGGAAAATGATTTTTAGATTTGGTTTGCTATCTAATGGATAAAGTAATGATTAATTATAATGCACAGAGGTAGAAAATTTAATTTTACCTCAAAGCCACTTAATTTTTAGATCAGATTTTTAAAATCGATGAATACTAATCGTTTCTTACTAAAAAAAAAATAAAAAAAAAGACAAATTGATGAGATTCAAGACAGAGCTGAAGTTCCGCCCCAGGCGCGAATTAAATGAATTGTTTTATTTAATTTGGCGCACCACTCGAGTCTATCTTCCTTTGTGTCGGCTGACAGAAGATGTCTATAGACCAAAAACAGAATAAGTGAAAATTAGTTTTTGTTTTTTTCAGTTTGAAAGTAAATTTTTCTTAATTACCTGACAGTGGTGTTCGCTCCATTTCGTATCATAATGAGACTATCGACATCGTCCAATTGTGCATGTCTCATTGTTTCAAGTAAAAATGTATTTGGTCGTGCGCAAATATCCCTCGATACTAAACCAACATTTGTTGTGACAATCCCCTGTAAATCAAGACTACCGATTGGCGTTTTTTTTCGCTCATCATCGGGATATTTCCAATACGATATTGTATCGCCTTTCAATAAACACCAACGACGATGCCAAGCACCAAATCCAGAAACATCTTCAAACATTGTTAAAAAGCCACGATGTTCTATTGCAACTGATAATTCACATGAGACGTGCATTTGTAGTTTACCATCTAATGGCGAATTCGATGGTACCTAAAACATAAATATTTAAGTCTTTAATTTATTTTTTGCACACTATTTATTTTTTACAAGAAAAAACACTCCTAATAAATGTAGTAAAAATAATTTATGTAAATAAAAAAAAGATTTTTACTTTATTGAGAGTGAATTGTTGTCGATGAACTTCACGAAGACTGAAAACAACATAACCAGCGAGAGAAAATGCAGGCGAACGAACAGCCGATGGACCAGCTGGACTTTGTACCGTGGGCATTATTAATTTACTTTCATGTTTTAAAAATTTCTTGGGCGTTTTACCTCCAGACTGTATCATCAAAAAAAAGAAGAAGAAGAAATATTAACAATTAAAGTAAAATGAACAATAAATAAAAAAGTAAATAATTCTTTCATTAATTTTCCCTTCAATTGAGAAAAAGGGGCTGAAAAAAGTATTGTCAAGAAAAAATAAAATTACCTTTTTAGATCCAGATGATGAGGAATTATTGTGAATATGATATTTAATTTCATGTGGTAAAACTTCGGCTCGAGTTTGAAGTGAATAAACTTCAATGGTAATTTTAAAATCACTATAAAGATCCTCAATTTTCAGTGTCGAGGGAAAACGAATGCAAGAATCCCCTTGTTCAACTTGAATAACAGGCGTTGAAACAATGTTTTCCATGTGGCGTACAAGACACAAAAAGTGAAGACGCGTGTCTACTTAAAAATTATCTTTATTATTTATTTTGGCAAATTTAAATTTAATTAAAGCAAGGAAAATTAGCGATACTGTCAATAGTAGCGACAATTTTAGGACACATGATCCTTTAAATTGATATTTAATAAAGCCATTGTGCAATGTTTAAAAATAAAAAAAAAAAAAAACTGTTTAAAAAAAATTAGTCACACTTACCGGAATCTAAACTGCGAATGTTCTCTCGCTTAATTGGCAAAGTAATTGCAGAGACAGTGAGCGAACCATTTTCTTGAACTTCTGGTGCTCCTGGAACAACTGGTCTCAAGGTACCCTCGACTTTCAATCGCTGAATCTCATGGAGTGCCGCCTGTCTTCGATGTGCTGTGAATGAAATATACGATTGAAAATCTCCATTCTTTGCTCTCGCAGGCCTCGGATTGACTTAAAGGCACAAAAAAAGTCGTATTAGTCGATTTATATTTAAAAAAAAAGTCGATTCTTTTTATTTTAACTCAAATATTTTACAGATTTTTAAATAAATCTTTTTTTTTTTTTTTAAATAATATTACTTTTGGAAGGGTTAAAGTTGAAATTTTTAGAAATAATTGAATTTCAAAAGATTTTGTTAATTTTCAGACAATTATTAAACTTTACAGAACTAAAAAGTAATTTATCAAATAATTTTAGATAACATTTTTTAAATGTAATTAAATATATTCAAAGATTTATAATTGAGATTTTTGAAATTAATTGAACTTCAAGTGATTTTAAATTAAAAATTTTGAATGATTTCAATAAAAAATTTATTAGAAATTGCGGACAAAAATACAATAATTTGAAAATCATTTTTAATTGAAAAATGGTTTCAGATAATTGAATTTCCTTAGAGTTATAATTAAAATTAGAAAATTTCAAAAAATTAAAAAAAAATTAAATTTTAGAAGCTTTTAAATTCAAATTTTTGAAAATAATTAAAATTGTGGATAATAATTCAATTTTAGTTGGTTTTTGATTGAAAATTTTGATAATAATTAATTTTGAATTGAAATTTTTAAAAATAATTGATTTTAGTTGATTTTGAATTGAAAATTTGGAAAATAACTGAATTTCAATTGAAATTTTGGATAATAATTCAATTTTGGTTTGTTTTTAATTGAAAATTTTGATAATAATAATTAATTTTTAATTGAAATTTTTAAAAATAATTGAATTTTTTTGATTTTAAAATGGAATTTTGAAAAATAATTGAATTCTAGTTGATTTTGAATTTAAAATTTTGAAACTAATTAATTTTTCCAATTATTTTGGGAAATAATTCAATTTTAATTGAAATTTTGGATAATAATTTAATTTTAATTGATTTTTTATTGAAAATTTTGATAATAATTGAATTTTAATTGAAATTTTGGATAATAATTCAATTTTAGATGGTTTTTGATTGAAAATTTTGATATTAATTTATTTTTTAATTGAAATTTTTAAAAATAATTGAATTATATTTGATTTTAAATTAAAATTTTTAAAAATAATTGAATTTTAATTGATTTTGAATTTAAAATTTTGAAAATAATTGAATTTTTCCAATTATTTTGGGAAATAATTGAATTTTAATTGAAATTTTGGATAATAATTTAATTTTAATTAATTTTTTATTGAAAATATTGATAATAATTAATTTTGAATTGAAAATTTGGAAAATAATTGAATTTCAATTGAAATTGTGGATAATAATTCAATTTTAGTTGGTTTTTGATTGAAAATTTTGATAATAATTAATTTTGAATTGAAATTTTTAAAAATAATTGATTTTAGTTGATTTTGAATTGAAAATTTGGAAAATAACTGAATTTCAATTGAAATTTTGGATAATAATTCAATTTTGGTTTGTTTTTAATTGAAAATTTTGATAATAATAATTAATTCTTAATTGAAATTTTTAAAAATAATTGAATTTTTTTGATTTTAAATTGGAATTTTGAAAAATAATTGAATTCTAGTTGATTTTGAATTTAAAATTTTGAAAATAATTAATTTTTCCAATTATTTTGGGAAATAATTGATTTTTAATTGAAATTTTGGATAATAATTTAATTTTAATTGATTTTTTATTGAAAATTTTGATAATAATTAATTTTAAATTAAAATATTTAAAAATAATTGAATTTTATTTGATTTTAAATTGAAATTTTGGAAAATAATTGAATTTTATTTGATATTAAATTGATTTATGATTTTGAATTAAAAATTTTTGGTAATTTTATCTGATATTTTTTTTAAATTATAAACAATTGTTAAATTTCATAAAAAATTTTAATTGAAAAATAATTCGAAATAATTGAATTTGTGATGAATTTCATTAAAATTATTAAAAATAATTAATTTAGTGAAAAATTTGTTAAATAATTGAAATAATTGAAATAAAGAAAATCTGAAGATCTGCATTTTATACTAAAAAAAAAATATATTTTATTTACAAATTTTTTTTTAAAAAATGTAAAAAAAGTCGAAATAGTCGCATTTTATTAAAATAAGTCGAAAAAAGTCGTATTTTTGAAAAAAAAAGTCGGAAATAGTCGAAAAAGTCGTATAAACCGAGGCCTGCTCTCGACAAAACGACAAAATATTAAATGTCAAAACACAAAAGACTATAAAAATATATTATAAATTAATTCGAAGAGAAAAAAAAATACTCACTCGCTAAAAGAAGAAGTCTCTCGCCTTCGACCTGTTCCCTTGAACCACTAAATTCAACAGTTGAATTACACAAATTCAATGCTTGACTAGCTTGGCCAATGGTTGTCTGTTGTTTACAAACCTCCTCCAAGAGACGTTTCACTTTTTCCTGAACAAGAATTGCCTCTTGTTTATCGTCGACGGGCGGACTTCCAGGGGATTCATCATTTTTATCTGGCACACGGGAAATTAAACGAACTGGAGTCTTAGGTGTTTGTGATTGTTGACGACGATAAAAGCTTACACTGTGCATTAGTGGAACACAATTTTCACCTTCAACAATGTAGGGCTCATTTTTTTGTCTTGCCGACGAAGGTGAATTTATTTTTATCGGTGAACGATATGCATGTCTGTAAACAAAATTATCACATATTAATGTGAAATTATTAATCAAATTTTAAAAATTTATATCTAATTTTTTATTACATACTTTCAAATTTTTCTCTTATTCAATTAAAAATTAACATATATTGAAAATCATATATTGAAAAGCGGAAAGAAAAATTTCGGGTACGAATTTTCGATCTTCATCGTAACAAATGGAGTAAAAAAAAAAGGAGAAAGTAAATTTTACACTAAATTCCTCACCCTTGAGAGTATTTAAAACTCGTTGAAGTGGCGGAAGGACTTTTACCCCCGCGATTTAATTTCGGTGGTGTTGGTCCTTCCTGATTGCCCTGAAGGGCAAGACACTCATCTAAATATTCGTCCATTTCTTCTAGAACGGAAATATCAGAAGTGGAACTGTCCATTTCATTATAAATTGTTCTCTGAAAAATAAGAGTTTAAAATTGCAAAAAAAAACATTTTTAAATTAGTTAACTAATAATTTATATTTCATTTAGAATAAAAAAAAAAGGAGGAAGAAGGTCCAAAAATTTTTTTTTATAAAATACTACAGGTACCTTATTATTCAAAGCAGACTGTTGATTAACAACATCTAAAATACTTCTTCCCAAACTTGTATTATAAATATCTTCACTTTCCTCATCGTCATCACTATCGTCTTCCGATTCATCCTGTCATAAATATAAAAATGATTTTGTTTTCTCTTTGAAGAAATAAATAAATAGAATTTCAATTGAAAAAAAAAGATGAATTTACCTCTACATAATAATCAGCTTCGGTTTCCGTTTGCTCTTCAAGAGTAGCAGTTTCTGGTTCCGTACTACCAACGGTGAATTCCGTTTCCGAATCAGTTGTACTTTCCTCAATACCCGTGAGATCCGGATACAAATTACCCGGTTTTGGTACACAAACTTTAACACGTTTAATATCGTCAACAATTCGTGGTTCATGCGTTTGTGCCAAACCTCTTACCACTAAAAGAATAAAAATAATTATCAATACAGTTCATAAATAAAATCATGTTGTTCAAGAACATGAAAGAAATTATAATTACGAAAAAAGAATTATATCAGGAATGATACACATAAAGACAGATAGATCTAACGTAAATCAAAAAAAAAAAAGACACTTTTATTATTAATAACTAGCTGTCGCACCCGTCTTCGACGGTTATAATATTTAGATTTAATAAATTTTGAAATTTATAATTACATCCAACTATACGTGTTCTCCTGGTATTAAAATATCTTTTTATAAATTTTTAATTATTATTTATTTAATTCAATTTAATTTTTTCACTGCTTTTAATAAAATTAAAATAATTTAAAATTGTATTTAATTTTATAGTATTGAAAATAAAAATTATTTTAATCAATACAATTTAAATTAAAATTTTAAAAAACTTTAAAAATTATTTGAAGAATAAATTTTTAATAGAAAAATTTCTTTTAAATAAAATGAAAATAATTTAATTTTATTATATTTATTATATTATATTTAAGTTTATTTAGTTTTATTATATTTAAAAATAATTTGTATCTATAATAATAATAATAATAATAATAATAATAATAATAATAATAATAATATTCAATAATAATAATAATAATTTAAATATAATAATTGTTAATTTCAAAGAGTAAAAAAGTAATTTTCGATTTTTTATTTTTACAATATCTGATTTCATATTCAGATTTGGAATTATTAATTTTAAAATTCTGATAAAATTCTTAAATTAAAATTTTTAAAATTTCTTGTTAAAAGCATACTTAATTGGTCACAAAATTTTAAATAAAGAACGTTTAGTAAAGAATTATCAAAAAATAAAAAATGTTAAATTTTTTAAATTTTTTGAAAGTGTCATATTTTTATTTAAATTAATATTTTTCATTGGTGTGCAGCTAAGATTGCGTTTAATACCCAACAGACTAAAAACATTATTGTTTTACTTATAAAAAGTTGAACATAACGAATTCTTATATTACAATGTTATTAAAAAAATTGGAAATTCAAAAATTTGATTTAGACTTTTAAATTCAGACTATTTACTTAATTTAATAAAAAAAAATGATTGTATTTATGTGAAAAAATTAGGTACAAATAGTTTCAAATCAATTTGACAAAAAATAAAAAATTTGCATTTTTTTGATTTTTTTAAAATTTTTTGAAAAAATGTCATAACTTTCGTTCATGTTAATATTTTTTAATCAAATATGGCTAAGATTTTAAGTTACGTTAAGACTGAATACACTGCCAAGTTTCACCTCAATCGGTTGAGCCGTTTTAAAGTTGTGCCGGTACAAAATATTGACGACAGACAGACAGACAGAATTTTTATTTATGGCATATTTGTTATCTTTACTACTTAAAATGATAAACTATGCAAGAAAAAATTAATTTGGATCAATGTACAGACAAAAGTCTGATTTTATTAATATAGATTATAAATATATTTTTACTAATTAAATTAAAATAGTCATCACGTAGAAAATATTTAATTTTTTTTTAAAACTTTTTCTATTGCAAAAAAATTAATAAAAAAAATCTATCAAAACAAAACATATACCTTGTCGTTTAAATGGAGAATTTTTCAATGGTGATGAACGTCGTCCGGAATTCTGCGGTAAAGGCGGCGGTGGAGGAACATGATCTTGCTGAAAAGGAAAAGACATTTTTTTTTCATGAAAGATTTAAAAAATAAATAACTAAAATAATAAAATTAAATATTAAAAAAAAAAAATTTAGAAAAGATTAGATTTATAATTGCTAGTAGGGGAAAACCGATGAAAATTTAGTGAAAATTAAACATCGTCGGAATAATTAAAATATTGAATAAAATAAAGAATGGTTTATTTTTTTAATGTAATGTAATAATAGAATAATTACTGGAGCCGGTGTTGGTTTCACAGGGCAAATTGGAGAATTCTTCGGTGAATTTGATTTTCCCTCGCTACTTTCGCTTGTTCTTAAAGCACAACCAACAGCAACTGTTGCCACATCTTTATTTTTTGTAAATCGTGTTCTCAACATTTGCAATTCCTTTTGTCGTTCACTTTGTATACTTTGAAGAATATTATTTTCCAATTCCTGTGTTATACCTTGCTCATAAACATTGCATTGATTGGAAACTGTTTTCACACTCGCATCTGGCTTTGGACGCGAATCTATTTTCGGGGGGAAAAAAAAATTTGCTTTGAAAAAAAAAGAAATATTCTATAGAAAATTAAAAAAATTTCATTTATAAAATATTTTTTACCAATTAATTTTTCTTTTTCCATTAATTTTTTCGTCGGCACTGACATTGTGAGTGGTGCCTTTGGAATTAGTGCCTCGCCTTTATTACGTTCAAAAAGTGCCTTCCTCTCGGACAATGACATCTCAGCGGGATCTTTGACTTTGATGAAATTACTATTTGTTTTTGACTCGAACATTGACGCTTTACTGAGTACAGAACCTGGTGACTGTTTAATGGAAGAAGAATTGCTCTTAGGTGATCCATTGAATGTATATTTTGAAATTCCACGTGAATTGTTGTTGTTACCAACATTATTTGAATTGATGGTTGTTGTTTTTTTCTCCGGTGTTTTTGCAATTTTTTCATTGAATCTCAATGAACCTGGTGGACTGCCAATACTACTTGCTATCGAACTTGTGGTACTGATTTTTGAACTGTCGCTCATTTTTGAATTATTCTTGTTGTTGTTGTTGTTTGAACCACGAACCTCCGCCTTTTTCTCCATTGTCCCAATAACTTCCGGTAAGACTGCCTCACGTTTTCTGGCCGTATTTTTCGATCCCTGAGAACAATCCTTATAGTCATACACGAGTCGCGAACCTCTTTTAGTGCGACTAAAACCCTGTGCCTCCTGTGAAAACAATTCAAACTCTCTCATTCAGAAAAAAAATCAAATAAAATGACTTTTCTAATATTACTTTCTTTAATATACAATATAAAAATAATAAAAGAAAATTTCGTTTCTTAAAAGAAAAAAAGTTTGAAAAAAGAATGAAATATTAAATACAAAAAAAAATTGTTAGTAAAAATAACTATTTTCTACCACCGGGTTAATTTTTATTTTCTTTTTTTTTCAAAAGCGAGAGAAAGATTTGTTAAAAGGCGACAAAAGAGTTCAAAAAGGTTATAATAAACATTATATATATTGGAAAATTGCAATTTTTATGAAAAACAAAATTTAAAACCCTTTTTTTTTTAAAGAAAAGGAATTTAAATTTTAATAATAATTACCAATGAATCTAAAACGACTTTATCCCATTTTAATTGTCGTGTTGTGTTCTTTTGTATTCCACTTGTTCCCGGTTGTGGTTCTGCATTTTTGACTTGCTCATTCAATTTAGCCTGAATTTTCTCCGCCTTCGATACTGTTGGTTTTATCTAGAATTTATTTAAAGAATAAATAAAAGAACAAATTGTTTTGAAAAATATAGGATTTAAATATGTAAATTCTAAGTTTAGAACAAAATTTTACCAATAGAAAAAATGTTACAAATTTTTTTTTTGATTATAACTAAATTGGATTGTTGCTATAATAATTGTACATAAAAAAAAATTGGAAATTTCCAGTTTTTCTTCTCTTTTTTTTTGCAATAAGTATTAAAAATTTCTAAATTGGGATTACAAAAAATTAAAAAAAAAATTCCTACCAATGTTGGATGTGATAAATCGTCCTCCCAATTATTAATTGTTGATGCAAGTGCAGCTAATCTATTTAAACGTGCTCCACTCTTTGCCGATTTGAATTCCACACTATCATCATCGGCTGTGAATGTTTCCTCAGTTCTGTGAATTGGTGAACTCAATTCTCTCTCATCTGATGGTCGAAAAAGAAAAAAGAAAACCATGATTTTTGTACAAAAACAAAACAAACAAACAAGAAGAAATTAAAAAAAAATATGTAAAAAAAAGTAAAGAAAAATTTAAAAGAATAAAAAAATTGAAAAATAAAATTTTATAAACAATTATAACAATAGGGAGAAAAAAGGGCAAACGAACTTTTTCGGCAACTTTGATTAATGAGATAAAAAGTAATATATTATACTGAACCCTCCCGGTAGAAGAAAACCAGTTTATATCAACCGAGGTATAAAGGTGTGTAAGAAGTGGTAGTAAGAAAAGCAAAGAAAACTTACCAGAATACAATTTGCCGAGCCTTTGCAATTTCGACTTAACACTGGTTGGGGGTAATATTTCACCATTTTCCTTCGTCTCAACAGGGGTTTTCAATTGTGATTTTCTCGATGTTTTCAATGGTGAAACAGATGGTGACGAACTCTTTGAACTTGGACTTGAGCTTGCCACTTTTTTCGGTGATTTTGAGGATATTTTTTGAGTTATTGCTAATCCAAGAGAGAAATAAAACAAAATTGAAAAATACAAAAATATCAATATATCACTACATTTACAAACAATAAATAATCAAATAAACAAATTAAAATCAATTAAATAAATAAAACAAAAAAAAAATTACAAACAGTTGTTTTGTACCACAGAAAAAAAATTTCTTTTCATGAACAAAATTGAAATACCTAAATAAATTATTCAACCATCAATTATTTTTAATAAACTTTCCAATTCTTATGTTAAAGAAAATAAAAATTCAAAATAAAAATTGGAAATAAATACACAATAGATCATTTTTTTGTTGTTTTTTTTTTAAGAAATTAAATGACCGAATCCATGTCAAATTATGCAGGCAGTCCGATGATATATTGCGAATTAATTTCAGAATGAAGTATGTTATTCTATACTTGAAAAATAAAGAAATACGTCTTTTTTTATATTTTCATTCGATTTTGTGTGTAGTTTTTACGACTTTTTCAAGAAAATTAATTTTTTTGCATTTTTCGCTTAAAAAAAGCATAACTTTCGTAATTTTTAACTTTTTTTGTTGCTCCTGGGCTTATTTTTTTCATTTTTTTTTAACTCTTTTAAAAAAAGTTGCTCCGAATGAAAAATATTAAAAAAAACAAGGATAAAAATGTAATTTTTCGAAAAAACAAAAAAAAAAATTTTTTTCTCAAAAATGCCACCTTTTTTTTGCCCCAAATTTTCAGGATTTATTGGTACACATATGTATTACATACCATAAAAATTTCACTTGGTATTTTTTTGTTTCTTAGGAGAAAAAAAATATTTTCATTTTTTTGGATTAAAAACTCTAAAAATCATCAAATTTAAAAGGTTTCTAACTGCTCCTTTATTCATTTTTTTTACTTTTCAACATTATTTTCGAAAATTGCGCAAAAAATTGATCAATTCTAAAAGCAGTATTTAGAAAAAAAAAACAATTTCAACAATCAATCGATCGAATTATTTTCGAAAATTGCGTAAAAATCAAAAGAATGTTAATAATTTTTAAAAATATCTAATTTTTTTATAGAAAAAAAAAAACGAAACAAATAGGTTTCAAAAATATTTTTTTTATACGTACATTTTTTGTTTCTATTTTTTCGGGTTCTATAAAACTACTTTTTATATTTCCTTTTAAAACGATTTGACAAACAAAAATGTACGTATAAAAAAAATATTTTTGAAACCTATATTTGTTTCGTTTTTTTTTCTATAAAAAAATTAGATATTTTTAAAAATTATTAACATTCTTTTGATTTTTACGCAATTTTCGAAAATAATTCGATCGATTGATTGTTGAAATTGTTTTTTTTTTCTAAATACTGCTTTTAGAATTGATCAATTTTTTGCGCAATTTTCGAAAATAATGTTGAAAAGTAAAAAAAATGAATAAAGGAGCAGTTAGAAACCTTTTAAATTTGATGATTTTTAGAGTTTTTAATCCAAAAAAATGAAAATATTTTTTTTCTCCTAAGAAACAAAAAAATACCAAGTGAAATTTTTATGGTATGTAATACATATGTGTACCAATAAATCCTGAAAATTTGGGGCAAAAAAAAGGTGGCATTTTTGAGAAAAAATTTTTTTTTTTGTTTTTTCGAAAAATTCCATTTTTATCCTTGTTTTTTAATATTTTTCATTCGGAGCAACTTTTTTTAAAAGAGTAAAAAAAAATGAAAAAAATAAGCCCTGGAGCAACAAAAAAGGTTAAAAATTACGAAAGTTATGCTTTTTTTTAAGCGAAAAATGCAAAAAAATTAATTTTCTTGAAAAAGTCGTAAAAACTACACACAAAATCGAATGAAAATATAAAAAAACACGTATTTCTTTATTTGTCAAGTAGAATAACATACTTCATTCTGAAATTAATTCGCAATATATCATCGGACTGCCTGCATGATTTCACATAGATTCGGTCAAATACGTACTAAAATCTAGGGAAGAAAATTAACATTTAATTTTTTTTATTGAAAAAAAAAAATTACCTGGAACTTTGGCCAAAATTGCGTTGGCGTCCTTGAGAGGACTTCGCCTTCGTTTGACATCATGTCCGGCATTTGATAATTGTGTATCTAATTTTTCTCTTCTTGCCTTTGCTCTTTCTAACATACGCTGAAATAAAATGTTATTATATTAAAGAATATAGAATTAAAACAAAAAAAAAAAAAAAAAAAAAGAAAAATATAAATGAAAATTCCTGAAAGAGGGGAATAGAAATACATGTTTTAAGGGAAAAACTCTCTCATAAATTGTCTAATTTATTTTACATTATGTATATAGGATAAGGAAATAATGTTGGTTTTTGATTTACAGCCCTGGCCAATGTTATTTCCAGTTGTACGAACTTCCTTCCTGTGTACTTATGTATCGGAACGTTATATATATATATATATATTGTACCAGTCAATGTTGTGCATGGGCTTTCACCTATCTTTCCCTCCCAAGGGTTTTTAAAATAATATTTTCCAGATGCCAACTGGTATTTTCTTTCTCTCTCTCTCTCTCTCTCTAGAAATTTCCCTCGGAAAAATGGGCGTATGAAATCTCCAATACATATCGCATTTTTAAACTCGTAAATCATTTTTACAATCATTTAAAATTTTTTCCTACATTTCTTTTTTTAAACTAAATGTGTAAATTAAAAAGTTTACCTTTATCTTTATTATTATTATTATATCCCCAAGAAAATGTGTATTTAATGATGTATTTCGAAATGTTATGCTTTTCTTTTTGGCTCATTAGTTGGAACCTTTTTTTGGAATTGGAAAATTTTCTCAGTTTTTAATGATAAAACCAAAAAGACTAATATTCTTTATTTTACATATTTTAAATTTGCACAGAAAATTAAAATTATTTTTATAAAAGCAATTAAAAAAAAATGACAAATAAGCAAAACATTATGTTTTTTCCCCTGAAATTAAATTACATCACAAATTTTCCAAGAAAAAAAAAAATACCACGAAATTTGTAATAATTGTTGACAGAAATTTATAAAACGTCCGTTAAAAAAAAATTCTCTAGCATCAGCAATATAATTCAATAACTAGAGAGTAAGAAAAAGAAAAAAAAATTTTAACTCGGAAGTACCAGAATATTTAAATTTACTCCCGAAGATTAAAATTATCTGATAAATAATAATAATCTCATTTGAAAGGATCTTTTCTTACCTGAGTGAAAGGGTCCATTCTTTCAGTTAATCCCTGCTTCTTTTTTTATCGCTCAGGATTCTTGCAACTTTCTCTCTCTCTCTCTTTGTTTTATTATTAAACACACAAAGGGAATTTAGAAATACACTCCTGATAATTTCAATTTATTATTAAATCACGACAAAAACTCTTGTTTTTAAAGACGCGCAATTTAGAGAAAATTAACCGCACCCTCGTTTCACTTTTTCAATTCAACACACAACTGTCGTTATTTTTTGACCGTTATTATAGAAGTTTGAATACGCGATCCCCACGCGAAAAAGAAAAAAAAAAAAAAAATTCTCACCGTTTTGTTTACACTCAACTTTCATGTACATTGAACGAAATACAATAATCTTTTTTCATGTAACAAATAATTATTTTCAATTTTTACTTAATAAATTGATATTTAACATGTCTATCACTGGGAAAAATGTCAAATATTATCACACGACAAGAACTGATATTTGTTTGTAAAAGCGTCAGTCGACAACTGGAATAGTTCCACAATTCACCACTAGAGTTCCTACCAAACGTTCTCTGGTGGATGTTTCAAAAAACGAAATACCCTATACCGATTCATTTTTTTATAATAAACTTCTCTTAGAGAGAGATTTAATACATAAAAACAAAATACTGATAAAATTTTTTTTCTATTTCTTAAAATCTTTCTATTGTAAAAATTAATAATTATCCTAATTAAATTATAAAAGTACAATTTTTTGTAGACATTTTTTAGCACGTTTATCTAAATAAAATAAAAAATTAAATAATAAATAATTATAATAATTTTAAATACTTGATAATTAATTTTTAAAAAATAACAGGAAATAATTACCCTCCACTACGCAAAGAAAAACAAAATTTTTCGTGTAAAATAAATTTATTTCCATAAATTATTCTATTTTACATTTTAAATTGTTTTTGACCATAAATTTTTCTATTTTACATTTTTATCGAATATTCATATCAAGGCTTTTATTTGAAACAAATTTTTTTTAAATTTTCTTTACTAAATTATTATATATATATATATATAATAAAGGCCTAAGCAGAATAGCTTCGCGAAAGACGTTCGCGAACGTGAAACATGAGTTAGAAAAAGACAGAGAGATATATTCGTATCCTTTTCTATCTCATGCATCTCGTTAGCGAATCTATTATGCGTTTGGCCTTAATAAAACAAAAACCTTTACTAACCAGAAAAAAATATTTAATATTAATAAAAAGAAACTAAATCAAATTTAAAAAAAAAAATGACCATTATTATAATTCACCAAAAGTGATAAAATAACAGAAAAAAATTAATTTTTTTTTTCCCAGTCACATAGAAAATTCAAAATTAATGTTAAGAACTTTTTTTTCTTATATTTATATATATATATATATATATATATATATGGAAATTTTTGTACTTAAAAACTGTTTTCCTTCGCTCCAATTTCACTCTTCTTAATTCTAGTGGAAAAATATACCTCTTTTAAAATGCAACCAAACTTTGGTTTTTTAACTATAGAGAAAAAAAAAGAAATCTTTTCTTTATATATATTAAAAAAAAAAATTTTCGTTAAAAGAAATCTTTTTTTTACATTAATTAGAGAAAATAATAGAAATGAAATTAATTTTTTACCTTCGAAAAAATAATATATATATATACATGAATGTATATATATATGTGTAAGCAATTTTATCGAATATAACGAGATTCGAATATGTTTATAAAAGTAAAAAAAAAAAAAACCCCGATACTTTTACATTTGTTTAAAAAAAAGAGTACAAAAAAAGAAAACAAGAATCGGAAAAATAACTTTTATAAATAATAGAGAAGTGTCTCGAGTTGTCCACTTGGCGGTCGTTGAATGGCTTGAGCAACGAGAGCTGCTAATTTGTGTGCATATTGACATGGTGCTGGTACTTTAACAGCTCCCGCAAAATTATAATACAATTGTGTCAATTTATAAGTCATACGTTGAATTTTATCTGGACCCCATTCGGAAGTATCTGAAATTACACTGTATGCAGAAGGTGCAATAGTTCCTTTACCACCGCCTTGAGACACCAAAAAGAAGTCATAGCTAAAATAAAAAGAAAAAATTAAATCTTCTACTTTTATTTTACAATTATTTTCATGAATTTTGAATTTTATTTATTAAAAAAATTCTATTATTTGTTAAAAAAAATAATATTTAAAAAACTTACCGCGCAGGATTTGTGACAACATCATCGACAACAGTTCCCGCTGGTGCATTATTATTTTGATGAAAGAATCGTGTATTAATTTTTTTCGTCACAATAATAAATGCCAATCTCACATTGGCAATATCACCGCCATAGAGTCCAGCTAATTTAATTTTCAATTCTTCAACTTCAATTTCATGAACAAATGGAATTTGTCCCTCGCCAACACCATCACGATAGAAAATAATTGTCGATGGTAATTTTTTATTAGCCTCCTGATATTTTGTCACTGCTTTACACATATTCACACCTAAATCATTTGAAAGTTCTTCGCCCGTTGTGTGTGCGCTCACTGCGCTAAAATAGCGACTAAAATTATTGTCCAACGATGCAACCAAAGCGCCTGCATTAAAGAAATTTGAAATTAAAAACAATTTGAAATAGTTTATAAATTCTTGAAAAAAAAAAATTTTTAATTTAATTTCAAATGGTGAATAAAATTTGTATATTTTACCAAAATCACGGCCTCGAGTTGTTTTATCGTGACACACATCAAAGCCAGCAACCATTATATTTCCACTTGGAACTTCTACCGTCCAACCGGCGCCACCAAGTTTACAATTCATTTGAATAGCTATCTTGGTGGCTGCCGTTAAATTTGGACGTCCCTTGGAGAAAATTGTCTTCGTCAATACCACCTGACTAAGACATGGACGATCAACGCAACATTTCTTCTTAATAGACGAATATCGATCAAGATTATTATTTGGTACAATGCACATGATTAATTGTGGATTTGAACGTGCCATTATATCCTCAAGCATTTCTGTATAACTACTCGTGCGATCCGAATTTATTTCCGCCGTTCTAGGTTGTTCAACACGAAAACGCATTCCATTTGCTGCACGCATTATACAATTCACTAATTCCTGAAATAATTTATATATTTCACAAACAAATTCTTCATGTCTATTTTTTTTGTTTACAAAAATAAATAAATTTCAAAATGAGTAAAAAGTTTAAATATTAATTTAAATTCTAATTAAAACATGTAAAAATATTTCTTTTTTTCTAGTAAAAATTAAAAAAAATACGAACCGTTGTGTCGCGTCTCATTCGCGATGTACTGACAATAATCCAATCTTTCAAGTGGCATGTCACTAACATTTCATTAGAACGTACCTCACCGTCCCAATTATTACCACGTGGTGTAAGTGTCATTCCGTGTGCCATTATTATTTTATCCTTTTGAATAACTCTACCCGGCAATTGTACCAATTTATTATCGAGTTTCAATCCCCATTCTTCCAATTCGTCGACAATTTTTTTTTCACCAAGTAATCGTCGATTAAATGACATTAAACGTTCGATACGTTGTCGTGGTTCAAGTTTTGTATGCGTTGCCAATGCATTCATTGTTTGATATGACGATCTCATTTCATCAGTGATTCCTGGTGAACATTTGTTTTTTTTTTAGAATTAAATTAAAATTTTTAAAAAATCACTTCAAATTACTAATTATTGTATATATAACTAGCAATATTAAACGCGCGCAAGCGCGCCAAATTGAGTATTTCATTATTTGTTATAGAGAAATTAAAAATTAATATTATCAATAATTATTTAAATTTATTAGAATATTATTCCATATTAAATGATAAAAATAAAAATTATATGTTTATAGGCCTCAGATTATTAATTATTAAATTATTAAATTTTAAATTCAAAGTCTTTTAAAATTCAATTATTTTCCAAATTTTCAATTTAAAATCAAATGAAATTCAATTATTACCCAAAATTTCCATTCAAAATCTTTTAAAATCCAATTATTTTCCAAATTTTCAATTTAAATTCAAATAAAATTATTTTCTAAAATTTCATTTCAAAATTAATTATCAAAAATCAACTAAAATTGAATTATTATTTAAAATTGTAATTGAAATTTAATTATTTTCCAAAATTTCAATTCAAAATCCAAGACAATTCAATTATTTTCCAAATTTTTAATTCAAAATCTTTTAAAATCCAATTATTTTCCAAATTTTCAATTTAAAATCACATAAAATTCAATTATTATCCGAAATTTTAATTTAAAATCAACTAAAATTCAAATATTTTCCATATTTATCTATTGAAAATTAACAAAAATTCAATTATATTCCAAAATTTCAATTCCAAAATCAACTAAAATTCAATTATTTCCCAAAATTTTAATTCAAAATCAAAGAAAATTCAAATATTTTCCATATTTATCTATTGAAAATTAACAAAAATTCAATTATATTCCAAAATTTCAATTCCAAAATCAACTAAAATTCAATTATTTCCCAAAATTTTAATTCAAAATCAAAGAAAATTCAATTACTTTCCAAATTTTTAATTCAAAATCTTTTAAAATTCAATTATTTTCGTAGTTTTCAATTTAAAATAAAATAAAATTCTTCAATTATTTTCTAAAATTTCTATTCAAAATTAATTATCCAAATTTTCAATAAAAAATGAACTTAAATTAAATTATTATTCAAAATTTCAATTAAAATTCAATTATTTCCCAAAATTTCAATTCAAAATCAAAGAAAATTCAATTATTTTCAAAATTTTCAATTCAAAATCAACTAAAATTCAATTATTTTCTAAATTTAAAATCAAATAAAATTTAATTATTTTCTAAAATTTCAATTCAAAATTAATTATTAAAATTTTCAATAAAAAATCAACTAAAAATGAATTATTATCCAAAATTTTAATTGAAATTTAATTATTTTCCAAAAATTTCAAATCAAAATTAAAGAAAATTTAATTATTCTAAAAAATTTGAATTCAAAATTAATTGAATTTTCAATAATTTGAATTTAAAATCATTTAAAATTTAATTAAATTTCTAAAATTTTCCATCGAAAATTTTTTGAAATTTAATAATTTCAATTATAACTCTAAAGGGAATTCAATTATTTTTAAATATTTTCATAATATTCTTTGAAAATTCAACTATCTGAAACCATTTTTCAATTAAAAATGATTATCAAATTATTGTATTTTGTCTGTAATTTCTAATAAATTTTTTAGTGAAATCATATAAAATTTTAATTAAAATCACTTGAAGTTCAATTAATTTCTAAAATCTCAATTTTAAATCTTTTGAAAATTCAATTAAATTTAAAAAATGTTTTCCAAAAATTTTTTTGATAAATTATTTTTAGTTCTGTAAAATTTTATTATTGTTTGAAAATTAACAATATCTTTTGAAATTTAATTATTTCTAAAATTTTCAAGTTTAATTTGACACAAATTTGACACGTCATAAGATTACTATTTAAAAAACACGTGAAATCATAAAAGACCAACTTCAAGTTAGGACAGAAGGACAGACCAAGCATTTTATTATTATATAATTTCTTTTCTAAAAAAAAAACTTTAATGCAAAATTTTTTTTAAAGAATTCCTTTCTTTTTTCAAAAAAAAGTTTTGGACATAAAAATCCTTTTTCACAACCTATTTTTAAGGCAGTGTTGGATTAATACTTAAAATTAATTAATTTACCTGTTGTACGACATAATTCGGGAACCAGGTAAATTAATTCTGCTTGTCCTGAACGACGTTCCTTGGGTTTTGATCGCGAAACTAACATTGGTTGTGAATCATTACGAATTCGAATTCCATATTTTTGACTATAATAATCCTTGTAAGAAATATCCTCTCCATTTCTTAATTTAAATGTAGAATTTGGTTTCACCGAATAATCAACATCGTCAATTCTATACGTATTATTATTGTATGCAGTCAATACAATTTGACCCATAATTTCTTTTGAAAAATAACCCTGAAATATATCAAGAAGAAAAACAGTTACATTCATGTAAATCCTTAAAATTTAGATACAAGAAAAACATATAAAATAAAAATGTTTTAAAAAAAAAAAAAAAAACTCAATAAAAATAAAAATTCCCAAAATATAGAAAAAAAACTAAAATAAATAGTGAAAAATTAATATTAAAATAACAATGTTTTTCTTAACAACAAATAATTGAAAATTAAAAAAAAATTAATGAAAGGTAAAAAAGGACTAGAGATTACAAGCAATAAAAAAAAAATCTTAAACTTACTTTGTATTCCATTTGATACATTCTGTAATATTGTTCCAACATATCGAGAACCGTTTCATCTCGCATTACTTTGTGCGTAATTTCGGCGCACATAAGAATATTATATTCACATTGTCTAATAGACGTTAAATAACCAGGCCATAGTTCCAATTTAAACTCTCTAATTTGAACCTAAAAAACAACAAAAAAAAAAAAAAGATTAATTATTTTACAAAAATATCTACTATAAAATAAAAAAATAACAAAAGTAAAACAATAAATCAACAATAAAAAATTAACACAAAAAAATCTAAACAAATGAATACTTACTTTGTTCTGTGCATCAAAGAAATTTCTTCCGACCAATTGAAGTTTCAAATGATCAAGGCACTTGCGCATTATTATGTTAAAAAATTGAATATAGTGATGATCACCTTTCGCAAGTTCAGTAGCAAACTTTACATTTATCTTAATTTGAACATCGTCCGATTGTCTCATGGAAAATAATTCGAGATTCTGTAAAAACGAAACCAGAAAAAAAGAAATGTAAATTTTAAAACTCAAATTTTTTTTTTCAAAAAAAAAAAAATAAATAAATAAAATAAAAATAATTAACAATAGCAATAATATTAATTAGAAAAAAGTGCAATTACTTCAGGAAGTCTTGTACTCGTGTACATAACTGTACCATCGAAAATATATGCGCCCAATTTTTCTTTATGCAAACGCAAAAGTCCCTTTCGAACAATTGTACGATCTTCCTCGGGTGCAAAATCTACATGATATTGATATAAACCCCAATGTTTATTGCTTTTTGTCATTAATTGAAAATAATTCGCTTGTAAATCAATTTTTTGTCCATAGCTTCCTGTAATGAAAACCAAAACCAAATTAAAATTACATAAATGAAAAAAAAAAAATAAATATGGGGCATTCTATTTTAAAATTATACCCCTAGTAAACAATTGACAATATAAGACATTTTTAAAATAATTATTTCTCCCATTTAATTAAATCAAATTACTTTTGCAATGAGTGGTTTCGAAAGAGAAATTTCTAAACTTTATTATTGTAAAAAAATTTTTAAAAAAAAACGTTTAATTAGCATAAAAAATTTAGTTTGAAGGTTAAACTTGTAAATATCTCAAAACACGTTGTTTCCGATTTTGACAAAATCTATATGTCAAAAGAAAGCTTAAATATTCAATTTTTTATTTCCGTAAAGTTTATAATGGACATTTTCGAGGATTTCGAGAAATTAATTAAAATTCTCAGACGTTTCAAAGGTTAAAAAGGGTTGAAATTTGCATGAATAGAGAACCTCTGTTCAAATACAGCGGCATTTGTTTTTACGAAATTTTTAAATAAATAAATTTTAAAACTTCAATTTTAATCTTAATAATTTTTTTTAAATTTGAAAAATTTTTCATTGCAAATAGCTAAAGAACAATATATTTATTGTTTACAATATTTTTTTTCTCTAATGTCAAAATGATGTAATAATGTAAGGTTAATGGAAATTAAATTTAAAAAACAAAATCCGCTCTTAAAGAAATGGTTCTCCATTCATATACAAATTTCAATCCTTTTTAACCTCCGAAACGTTTGAGAATTTTAATTAATTTCTGGAAATTCTCGAAAATGTCCATTATAAATTTTACGGAAATAAAAAATAGAATATTTAAGCTTTCTTTTGACATATAGATTTTGTCAAAATCGGAGACAACGTGTTTTGAGATATTTAACCTTCAAACTAAATTTTTTATACTATTTAAATGTTTTTTTGAAAAAATTTTTTTTTACAATTGTAAAGTTTAGAAATTTCTCTTTCGAAACCACTCATTGCAAAAGTAATTTGATTTAATTAAATGGGAGAAATAATTATTTAAAAAATGTCTTATATTGTCAATTGTTTACTATAGGGGTATAATTTTAAAATAGAATGCCCCATATATAATCATTTTTCTTCATTTAAATTACAATCTAATTTTAAGATAAAATTTATTTTTCTCAATTCTTTTTAAATTTATTTATTTTCCCACAAAAATTAATTATATAGTACGTATTTAATTGCAATCAAAAAAAATTAATAAAAATAACAACTTGTGATTCATATTCACCTTGTTTAGTGACACATCCAGAAGGTTTTGTTAATAAACATTCAGCCTCGTTTACACGTCTTCTTCCTCGCATTCCACCTCTTCCAACGGCAAGAACATCGCCACCTTTTGTCCCTAGAAAATAATCAAAATAAATAATAAAAAAATCGATAAAAAATGATCAAATGTTTTTAACTGATAAAATAAAATAATAATAAAAAAAATATCCAATAAATTACCTGGTGGTGGAGTAGTGGTTCCTGGAGGAGTGGAACCACCTGAACCACGTCCGCCTTCTTCCCGTGGTGTTGCAACTCTTTCAGTAGCCCTGCCTCCCTAAAAAAAAAAACAAGAAAAAGAACATTATTCTGCTTCTATTACTCGATGCTTTTATACAAATTGTATATTATTTCACTAAAAATAAAATTTAAATAAAATATATTTAATAACAATAAGTATTAAATTCAGTACCGAACGAAAACATCGGTTCAATCAATTTATTAAAAATAACAATTTTTTGCATTAGTTAGTTAATTAATCAATAAAAAAAAAAATAACTCAATTAAATGATTATAAGATAAATAATTTGTATTATTCTATTAAAAGTAGAGAAAATAATTTATATTATTTAATTAAAGATAAATGAAAAGAAGAAGCATTTACTTGTGAAGTTCCTTGTTGTCGTGAAGGTCCAGCATCACCTCCTGGTCCTGGTCTTCGCCCCCAAGAAGATTGTGATTCATCACCTCTTTCACCTGTTTGTGGTTGTGGTCTTGAACGACCGCGACTCCGGCCCATTGCACGACCACCACTACCACCTTGTTCCGACATTTCCTCGTCGTAATAATCCCAATGATGTGACGATTGACTCCGTGAATGTTGATCGCGCGAATCTCCACGATATTCACGCTGATAATCTCCTCCGCCTCCTCCTCCTCCTCCTCTGCCCCTCGGGTCTCCTCCTCCTCGATATTCTCGTTGATAATTATCCCTCGGATAATCTCTCGAATCACGTGATTCCCTTGGATAATCCCTTGAATCACGTGAATATTCTCGTGGATCTCGAGAATCACGATCGTAGGGATTTCTCGCTCTAAAGGGAGAAAAATGCATTTAATTGAAAGTTTATTTTTTAATACAGAAAAAAATTTATTTTATTCAAAATTGACTATAATAAAAAAAAACCAAAGATTGGAATTGTTAAATTTTACCATCTAGATTAATAATTAATATAAATAATTATTAAATATTCATTTTATTATGAATATATTTTTTTTTTAATTTACAATAGTAAATTTTTCTTCAAAATAGAAATTCAAAATTTACAGTAATAAAATTGTACAAAAATATATAATTAATGAATAAAAATGAAATAAAACAGTTGAAAAACATATAAAATAAGACAAACTTCGGAAAAAAATAAATAGAGACCTTATCGAAGCGTAATATAAATATTTTACTTATATAAACTACTGCGATAAAATATTTAAAGTTTATTATTTAGAAGCAGAGATGAAAGCAGAGATGAAGCAACGTAACCAACAAGGCAAAAAAGAGCCACACCATCAAAAGTAGAAACCAGAATTTAATCGTGGATTAAATTACCAAGACAATATAAACTGCACAGCATTCGAGATAGCGGCAATAAATTCTTAGAAATGCAAAAAAAAAATAAAAATTTCAAAATGGAAAAAGAATTCGAAATTAAAATAATATCATCATCACCTTGGAAACACGTTGTATTTAACGCTAGTCTCTACCGGCTTTATTTTTTTTCTATTTAAACTAACAAATATCTATAAAAATAGCAAAAAAAATAAATAAATAAACAAAAAGAAACAAATTCAAAAATAATCCCCAAGAAATTTTTTCATTTCTTTAAAGATATAAGAGAAAAGAAAATGATAAAAACGGGAAATTTTAAAGTGAAAAAATAGGTTATGTTTGACGCAATATTTTTGTTTCATTCGTGAAAAAACAAAGAGAGAAAAGTGAAATAAAATGAAAAAATTTTAAGTACACACCGGTACGGTTCCCTTTGATGCTGTTCCTTCGGCATTATTGAAAAATTTCACTTAAATGAGAGAAACTCTCTTTCTGTGAAACAAAAAAAAAAACTGTTCTTTTTCTGCTTTTTAAAGCTCACAGCACACCTAAACTTCAAAATGGCGACTGACTGAGGGAAACACACTCAACAAGCTCGAAGAAAAAAAAAAAAAAAAAAAAACCCTTGATGAATTTTACCCTATTTTTCGGGTGAAGAAGGGGCAATCACATTGCTACCAATATAAATTCCTATTCTCCAATACAATACATTTTTTTGACCTTGAAAGCCAACAAAATAGAGTGTAAGACATTTTTAGAGGTCGTAAAGTAAAAAAAATTTGTTTCAGGTAAAAAAAAAGAGATGTTTTTTCTTAGAATGTTTCCCATTTTTTTTTTTTCTATGTTTGAGGAAAGTTTGTCAAATATTTGATTTGAATTTTAATGTTCCTAGTTATTTATACATATAGGAATTTTTCATCCAATATTTTTTATAATCAATATATATTCAAATTTAAAAAATATTAGTGAAAAAGTAATTAATTTTTAAAAATTCACTTAATTAAAATAAATTTACAAAATTAAATTTTTTTATTTGATGTAAATTATATTTCTTAGAACAATTACAAATTGCAAGAAAATAAAGAATTTTGTAAAATAAAATTTTCTTTTTTATGTGCGGCTAAAATTACATATATATATATTTTTTTAAAATGATTTTAATTGTAAATGTTTACATAATTTTTATTTCAAAAACAAAAGAATTAACACACATGAAAATGGTGATAATTATAATGAAGCTAAACTTGAGCTTTATAGAAATTAAATTTTTAAAAAATCCAAAAAAACATTAAATGTGTAAATTAATTACATTTCCATAGAAAATTTTTTTTTACAATTTTCTGGAAACCAATTTTCTCTTAGAATTTCAAAAATTGTTTTTAAATTTATAAATAACGATTCTGAGACTTTTTGTCAATTTAGTAAAATTTCAATTCCACACTTTGGTTTTGTTAAAAAATAAGAAAAAAAAATGATTGCTTCTAAAATAACAATAAATATATGTAATTAAAAATCGAAAATTTTGATTTAAAAAATATATTATTACAAAATTTAAGTCGTAATTATTAAATTTATTTCAATAACTTTGATTATCTTATAATTTACGAAAAATTATTGCATGCAGAAAAAAATTTAGAAAAAAATTTTTATTTTATTGATAACACATGAAAAATGTCAAAAAAATAAAAATTGATAACAAAAAAAAATGCAGACAATTAAAAAAACAACTTTTAAACCACGTGATAATTTCTGGAACAAAGAGAATTTATACTAGAAAAAAACACATTTCAATTTCAAGTTCACTGGGAAATTAAATCAATCTTAAAACATCCAAGACTACCTAATAAAAAAATTAAAATATTGGAAAAAAATTACACAAATCTTCTTTATCCAAGAGCACGTGGACAACGCGAAAATAGAAATTTAACATTTCACTTCACAAAAAAAAACATGGAAAAATTCATTAAGTTATCAATTAATTAATTGGGAAATTATTGACAAGACAAAAGTAGCAAAAATTATTAGGAAAGAAGATGAAAATAAAATTAAAAAAAAAAACATATTCATTTGTCACTTATAGACAAACACTTTTCAAAGAGAATATAATTTTCTTTTTCACTGATAAAAACTATAATAATATACTAATAACTTTACAAAAGAAAAAAATTTTTTTTTATAATATAAAATTTAGCACTCACCTTTATAATTAATTTGATTAAAATAAAAAAAAAAATTGCAGACTGTTTTCACCTTCGCAAATCTCAACACGATACTGAAGATTCCGGCCAAAACATGTTAAAAGAGGAGGAGATTGCACTCTCCTTCTTGCGAAAAGAATCATGGGTAATTTCTTGTCTGACGATTGGCTAATTTCAAATTGCAATATTTTACAATATAACGAGTGCCTTGATTGGCAAAGTTCTTACTAAAACGCTCGCTTATTGGTCAAGAAAGAAAGAAGAAAATTTTGCACTACACAGTCAGTGATTCTCAAACATTCGTAGTGGTGGAGAGAGTATACATTTAGTTCATCAATCATAAATTTGTTAATAAAAATATACTAGATAAAATTGAATATCGTTCGAGTTTATATTATTAAATGTCCTAGAGCAATAATTAGAGAAAAAAAAATACAGTGTAATAATTTAGTTATAGTAAATAGACAAGTGAAATGTGAAAAATCGGAGAAATGTTAGGAAATTGAAAACAAATCATCGCATCTAAATTTTCCATAACATCGGTGAGTAAATTTAATTAATATTCTTTACTGTTTACATAAATATTTATCGTATTTGATTTAGTTTTTTTAATACCTTTGTATTTGATACGATTTCCAGTGGAAATATTTTGTAAACAATTTGCAGTGAAATTTAATATTGAAAAAATTGTTACAAATTTATTTTTAGGTTAAATCTGTCGTTTTTATCACAATAAAACATATTTTTTTGATAAATATACTCTCATTGTTACAAAATGTTGTAAATTTCGATATAAATTTTTAAACAATAATCGTAAATTTAGATAACATTTCATTTAATTTGTAAATATATATTTTGAAAAAAAAAGAATTATTCACGAAACTGAAATTTACAATTATTTAATTATAATTTATAAATAATAACTATTATAATAATTATAGTAATTAAGAAAAATATTTTTAATTTGTTTGGTAAAAAATGAATGATTTTATTGAAATAAAAAAAATGTACTATCATTAAAAAAAAAAAACACTTTATTAATAAATTAATCTAATTTTCTTCAATTACAAATTGACATTTTTATCGTGAATAAACATTTTTAAAATATCAAAAATTAAACATGACATAAAAAATATAAAAAAACTTTTCTTAATCGTCGAAAAATTTATCAAATTGATGAAAATTTTTTTAATTGTCTCACAAATCCCTCATTTGGTTTAATTCGATTGCGAACATTTTTCACACGTTCAAATGCAATGTCAAATGTTAATTTTTCCCTTGCCATTAAATAAGCAATAACAATTGTTGGCGAACGTGAAATTCCCGCATTACAATGTACTAAAATATTTTCAAAACAACGTTTTTTATCAATAATTTCCAAACAATATTTGACAGTTGGAAAAATATTACTTTCCGGTAAATCAAGTAATTCACTAAAATAATATTTAATCCCATCAAATTTCACTGGTACTTGAATACCAATACTGAGAATATTTTTTATTGAATGTTCGCGAAGAATTTCCTCACTAAGACACGGATCCTGTGAACTTAAATATAGACCGGAAATTATTTTCACTATTTCAAAATCTGGTTTTGTATCGACAACAAATGAAAGACCACTTTCAATTTCGCATTTTTCACCATTTTCATGAATTAAAAATTTACGTCCACTTGTATCTGTGTAAATTGTTTTACACGACTTGAGTTGTTGTTTTTTTTTAGTTAATAAACTTTTTAGATCCATTTTTGAAAAAAGGTGGTGGTAATTTGTATTCTTCTTTTTTTTAATAGTCAAAGTCAACGGAGCGTAAAAATTCTTTTTCGTTATAAATAATGGTATTTTCTTTGAGTTCCTCGGGATTATATTCGACATTCACTAAATAAAGTCCATTTGCTGGTACTGTGGCAATTCGTGAATTCCAACTGTTTTTCGATGGCACTTGAAGCATTGTTATTAATTCTTTTTCGGTAATTCGCCCGCTAGCGAGGCCAAAAAGAGCGCCGACCATTCGTCGAATCTGAAAAAAAAATAAATATAATTTTCCTTTTTATTATAAAAAGATTTTTTGAAAATTTTATTCTGCAATTAATTAGATTTTTATTATTATCCTTTTCTTATTATTGTTAATTAATTACTAGCAAAATTACACGCGCGCGTCCAACTTTAATTGCAATGGTTATTTTAAAATAATAATAATAATATTAATAATAATAATAATAATAATAATAATTCTGCATCAATGGAGTAATAAATTAATAATAGGTATATTTCTAATTTTCACGTTATCATTTATTTATACACAGAAAAAAATGAGTTTGATGTTATATAAATAAATAAATTTAAGTAAAAATTTTAAAATATAAATATTAAAATATTAGAAATAAATATTTTTGATAAAGTCAATGTTCGATGAATTTTTTATAATCTTTCAAATTACAAAAAATTAGTTATGCTAAATATTTTTTTGTATTTTTTATAAATATTTCGTTGCAAATGAAAATTTTAAAATGTTTTTTTTTCAAAAAAATTAATTAACTGATAATTAATAAATATTAAAAAATTATATAATCAAAAAGAAATTTAAATTAACAGAAAATTATTAATTATATTTTAAAAAGTATTAAGCAATTAAAAAATATTTAGAAATTTTGAAAAAATAAAACCTAAAAAAAATTTGTAATGTTTTAAACTTTAAACTTAAATTAAAAATTAAAATCAAATTGAAAATTTTTTAAAAAAGCAAACTATTTTTATATTGTTTATAGATAAAAAAATATAACAATTTAATAATTAATAATAAAAACAAATTAATAATAATAAATTTATGAATAATAATTTATAATAAATAATAATGAATAATGAAAAAATAATGAAAGATAAATAATAATTATAAGTTAAAATGTTCTAATTATCTGTAATAATCATTATATTTAAAAAAATGTATATATAATATAATAAATTTATAAATAATAATAAAAATTATATTATAATTGAAATTTTTTTTTCTATAAATACCAAGTAGGAAATATACTGGTGCTGCACACAATGAACAATATTTTTTTTTACTTTAAACTGTCACTTACAATATATGACTTAATTAATGACGATGAATAAAAATATCCGTCGTGTTAACCATAAAATATTACGAAATCAAGAATTGTCAAAATTTTAGAAAAACAAAAGGAACAAAATACGACTAACTTCAAGTGTGGACAGACGGAATGAATGAATGAATACGAAAATTATTATAGTTAATTAATTAATTAATTAATTAATTAATTATTTACCTGATTGTGGACAAAAGATTTTCCTCTAATTATAAGATGCCAATAATCAAAATCTTTCACATTTGGATCAAATGGAACAAGTGGCATTGCCTTTTCCAATGTCATTTCATATAAAATTCTTCTATAAACCTTTGTCTTAATTATTTTATCTTCAACTGAAAATGTTCCAAAATCTCTTAGTCCTACAAAATGTTTCATTCCATTGCGAAGTTTCTCGATATCAAATTCATCAAGTCTGTGCAGAAAAAAAAAGGAAAATTTATAATTTCTGTATAATAATAAACATTATTATTAATAATTATGAATTAATTAGACGAAACAATTACATTTTATTATAATAATTATAAAAAAATTCTTTCATTTTTATTCAAACAAAATATTTTTTTAAAAAGGTCAAAAATGTTTAATAAATTATAAATTAATTTAAAAATAATAATAATAATTTTCAAATTACTCTCGTAATATCTTACCGAATAGTTGTACTTCTATTCATTTCGGAAATTGGAGATAAATTACGTATTTCGCTATTTTTTGCAACTGCAAAACGAAAATAATACGTACGCGATAATGCAGAATGTCTCGCGTGAAATTGTTTTGTAATTGGAATACATTTTAATATCCTGGGGAAAAAAAATTAATTCTAAGAACAGTGGCAAAAATAAATATTTTTAAAAAATCTAATTTATACATCCATAATACAAAGAAAAGAAAATTATTGTGTGATTGAAATTGTTTTTCTTTAAAGACATTTTTTAAAATCAAACAATTTTTGAAAATTTGATTTTTTTTTTAAATTCAAATTTGTTTTTTAAATCGAAAATGTTATAGAAGAAAGAATAAAGAAAGAAAAAGAATAAAAGAAAAGAAAGAAAAGAAAGAAATAAAAGAAAAGAATAAAAGAAAATAAAAGAAAAGAAATAAATAAATAAATAAAAGAATAAAAGAATAAAAACATATACTAATCCATTAATATTTAATGAATAAAATAAAATATATTTTTTTTACCGTATTTCATGTCGACATCGCAGTAAATGACGATTTAAAAAACGTGTTAACGATTCTGGATGATAGAAAAGTCCTAATTTATTTTCTAATTCTACGTGAGCCGCATTAAAAAGCCCATGCACTCCTGCATCTGTTCTAAAAAATGTACAATTGAATTAAAATTAAATAATAAATAAAAATAAATAAATAAAAATAAATAAATAAATAAATAAAAATAAATAAATAAATAAATAAATAAAAATAAATAAATAAATAAATAAATAAAAATAAATAAATAAAAAAAATAAAATATATATAAAATAATATAGTAATTAAAAATGTTATACAATCAAATTAAATTTAAAAAAAAACAATTAATCAGAGAATGAAATTATATTTTTGATTGTTCTTACCTGCTTGATGAAACAAATTTATGATTAATAATTTTTGGTTTTACTGCAGTAAATGCTGCCTCAATAGCTCCTTGAATACAATCAACATCTAAAATATTACTATTTCCTGATTGTCTTTGAAGTCCTCTAAAAAAAATTAAATTAAAACCTTTTTTCGAATAATAATAATAATAATAATAATAATAAAAAAATAATAATAAATAAAAAAATTTTAATTGTTAAAAACAAAAAAAACAGCGTAAATAAATTTTCAATAACATAACCTCAAAATCAACTTTAAAATGTAATTGTTCTAAATTAAAACAATTAAGACATTAAGGACTTTAAAAGCAAAATGTAAACAATTAATAAGACAAATAATAATTTATACTTTTTGATTTTTATATGTGTTTTAAAAACTAGGAACCAATAAGAATAAATAAAAAATACCCCCAGGGTTGACGAAATTCACTTTTGAATGAAATTTTTTTTTTAAATCGTTTGGTTTATTAATTTTTGATAAATTATTACCTATAACGATGTCCAAGGTAAGAAAAAAATAATAAATATCGATTCATTTTTCTCCGTTAAAGAAAAAGAAAATAAAAGCACTTACACACAAATTTTCGATGTACACTTGCTGATCTAACCAGAGTTCGGTACGTAAGATACTGCTTCAAGTATTGGGATCTGAAATACTGCGATACGCCATCTGGTGACGACCTCGTTGTGTCAGCCATTTTTCGTTTCATCCTTTATAAAATATATGTAGAAGAAAGAGATAAAAAATCAAGATGGCTGACGCAACGAGGTCAGTTTCCCCATAATTCCCTATGATTTCAGATCCCAATACAATTTACATGGTTTTCTACAAGTAGTTTACCATGTAAATTACACCAAAATCTTGGATTTTCTTGGGTTTTTTTTATACAGTATAATTAAAACCATTAAAAGTTCAGATTTATTGAAATTATCGATAATTCATAAAAAAAAAAGTTTCGTGGTAGCTGTGATGAAAAATATAAAATATTTAAAAACATGGGTATAACTTTGTCGTCTGCTAGGCGCGGGAATTTTAAATAACATTTAGATAACATTTCATTTAATTTGTAAATATATATTTTGAAAAAAATAATTATTCACGAAACTGAAATTTACAATTATTTAATTATAATTTATAAATAATTAATAACTATTATAATAATTATAGTAATTAAGAAAAATATTTTTGATTTGTTTGGTAAAAAATGAATGATTTTATTGAAATAAAAAAAATGTACTATCATTAAAAAAAAAACACTTTATTAATAAATTAATCTATTTTCTTCAATTACAAATTGACATTTTTATCATGAATAAACATTTAAAATATCAAAAATTAAACATGACATAAAAAATATAAAAAACTTTTCTTAATCGTCGAAAAATTTATCAAATTGATGAAAATTTTTTTAAAGGTGCTTATATACCTCAAATTTCGATCAGATGAACATTATTTCTGGACCGTGAAAATGCGTGAAAAGTCATTTTCACGGCGGGTATTTTTGAATTGTTTTAAACAAAAAATGTTTTTTTAAGAAATATAATATTAAATAATTGTTTTAATATGTAAGAACACTTTAAAATAGTGATAGAGAGATGATTTGATTAAAAAATTTAGCAAATTTTGCTTTAAAACGTTTTCTGCTACAAGAAAGTGTAAAATGACGATGTTTGTGAAATGGTTTGTACAGTGCTTCTTCCTTGTTAGTGTCTCTCAGAGTTTTGTTTATGTTATGTCGGTTCTTTTTAACTTGTAATAAATAATGAGTGCTGAAAATAAATCGGTAAGTTGAAATGTTTATCAAATAAATTTAAATTCAACTAATTGTTTCGAATAACTGAAAGAAACATGTACACATGTACACTGTACAAACCATTTCACAAACATCGTCATTTTACACTTTCTTGTAGCAGAAACGTTTTAAAGCAAAATTTGCTAAATTTTTCAATCAAATCATCTTTTTATCACTATTTTAAAGTGTTCTTACATATTAAAACAATTATTTAATATTATATTTCTTAAAAAAACATTTTTTGTTTAAAACAATTCAAAAATACCCGCCGTGAAAATGACTTTTCACGCATTTTCACGGTCCAGAAATAATGTTCATCTGATCGAAATTTGAGGTATATAAGCACCTTAATTGTCTCACAAATCCCTCATTTGGTTTAATTCGATCGCGAACATTTTTCACACGTTCAAAAGCAACGTGAATGGGTATAACTTTGTCGTCTGCTAGGCGCGGGAATTTTAAATAACAATCACTTTTTAAAAAAAGTACAAACATTTTATATATAATGAATCAATTAATAATTATTAGTAATTAATAATAAAAATAATAACAAAAGGAATATATTATTAACATGCTGAAAAAAATATATACACAATTATTTTTTTTAAACAACAAATTTTCATGCATTGTGAAACGAACTTAAGGTCACACGATCTTTAACAGAAAAAGTATCTTTTTCTCCCTCGGGAATACAATCTATTCTTTTGTCATTGTTTATGGATTCAATAATAATGTTTTGACAGGGAAAAATCAACGCCTGTAATAATTCGTTTTTCAACTTTTTTTTCTATATATAAAAAAAAAAAAAAAAAAAAATATACAATAATCAAAAACGTTAAATTGTTTTTCATTTTATTCAATATACGAGTTTTTATTATTACGAAAGTGTTTTTTATATAAAAGTGATTGTTTTGAAAAAAAAGTGTATTTTTGTGTGCGTGTGTGTTTGATTGTGTCAAGAAAAAGAAAAAAAAAAAAAAATAATGTCAAGTTCAGAGGATGATGTAAAATATATGCCACCGGAAAATTTGGAAAGTGGTGCTACACCATTATTACAATTAAAATCAAAAGAAAATTATGATGCAGCATATCAAAATTTTAAAAATTGGCGTGACACAAAATTATTATTGACCAATGAAAAATCATTAATGTCATATTTTCAATTATTAAGCGAAAAATATAAACCAACAACATTGTGGGCACAATATTCAATGTTAAAAAATACAATTGGTGTTAATGAAAAAATTGATATAAGCAATTTTAAAGAAGTGACGACTTTTTTGAAAATTAAATCACAAGGCTTTCAAAGTAAACGATCAAATATATTTAAGCCTCAGGAAATTTGCAATTTTATCAAAAGTGCTCCCGATGAATTTTATTTAGCAACAAAGGTAATTATATTATTTATTCAATTATTGATTATTATTAATATATTTATTATGTAAATAAAAAAAAATAATTTTATTAGGTTTCTTTAATACTTGGAATTGCGGGCGCATGTCGTTCTGATGAATTAGTGAAATTAAAAACAAAAGACGTCGAAGAACATGGACAAGTACTACTTGTAAAATTATCGGGAACAAAATATAAAAAAGGACGTTCATTTACAATAACACCCGAATATTCTCAATTAGTTAAAGAATATCGTAAATTACGTCCAAAGAAAACGGAAACCGATCGTTTTTTTCTTAATTATCAACGTGGTAAATGTACAGTTCAAGTGATTGGAAAAAATAAATTTTCCAGTATGCCAAAACAAATTGCATTGTTTTTAAAATTAGAAAATCCCGATTTATATACGGGACATGCATTTCGACGAACAGCCGCCGCAATACAAAAGGAAGTTGGTAGCAATATTCTCGATTTATTACCAAATAATGACAATGAAATTAATACAAGTCAATCATCACAAAGAACAAGTGGAATTCAACAACAACAACATATTGATAATAATTTACCATCAATTAAATTTCAAGAAGTTTTAATTCCTTATCAAGAGGATTCAGATGCTGATGATTATGATGATGCTGATGAAATTGCTCCATTAAAACAGCCAAAATTGGAAATTGACTTTGAATTAAAAGATGGAAATGATCCATTGGAAAAAATATTTTGAGAAACAATTGTGATAAATAAGTAAATTATACTATTGTAATTAATAATTAATTACTATTATTATTATTATTCTAATATTAGTGATCGTTTTTTTAAATTATTTTACTTTTCCCCTTTTTCGTCATTTCGGTACTTTAATTGATTAATCAATTTATATTCTAATAATTCAGATTTAGAATGATTATTGTCAATTAGTTTTGAGGTTTTTTGAAAACTTCTTTTCAATGCAAATTTAAATTTAGAAATAAAAAATTCTATAAATTAATTAAAATAAACATAGATGAAATAATAAATTATTTATTTCACAAAAATATTAATATTTAATTTTATTAACCTTTCTCTTTTATTTATTAAATTATTTCTTAAAATAATAAAAAAAAAATTTATTAAATATAATATTACTACATATAGGTAAATTTCGATTTTGAATTGATTTATAATTAATTTTTATTAATTTAATTAGTAATTAGCCCAATATGCATAATAATAATAGTTTTAAAACTATATTTAAAAATTATTCAGTGTTTTTTACCCAAATATTTACAACTAAAACAACAAGTGTTTGTGTGTGTGTATTTTTATAAGGAAAAAAACTGATAAAAATTTACAACAATTAAAATCAAAAGATACTTATATGAAGCAACTTATCAATTATATAAATTATGGAAAAAAAAATGAAAAATTATCACAATAACAAATGATGAAATATTAATGAAATATTTTCAAGAGATGAGCGAAAAATATAAACCATCATCAACTATGGTCACGTTATTTAATGTTAAAAAGAACAATAAATATTAATGAAAAAATTGATATAAGTAAATATGAAAGAATAGTGGCATTTTTAAAAATTAAATCACAAGGATTACAATGTAAAGAATCGAATGTTTTTAAACCAGAGGAAATAAGTATGATTTTATCAGAAGAGCACCCGATGAATTTTATCTAGCAATCAAGGTAGATTATTATTATAATTTAATAAAATTATTAGAATTATTATTTTTATTGTTATTTTATTATTATGTTTATTTAAAAATAATTAAAATTCAATCAATTCTAAAAAATTTTTTCAGGTAAAACGGATGAATTTTTAAAATTAAAAACAACTGACGTTAAAGCACATGGAAAATTTTTATTAATAAAAATTGCTGGAACTAAATTAAAAAAAGGACGTTCATTTACAATAACACCTGAATGAATATGGAGAGTATGTAATTGGTTTTTTTGTCAATTATTAAAAAAGGTAAATGCACTGCTCAAGTAATTGGAAAAAATAAATTTCCCGCAGTATGCCAAAACAAATTGCATCGTTTTTGAAATTACAAAATCCTGAATTATAATCGGTCGATTCAATTCGACGTTCTGCAACTGTTTTACAAAAACAAGTATTCTTGATTTAATAAAAATTAATGTTGTGAAAATTAGAAACAAAAAAACACAATTAGAGAAAAATGAAAAACAAAAGAATGTTGCTGATAATGTTGATAATAATAATAATTTATCGTCAACTAAATTCCAACAAGTTTTAATTTAAAGAGAATTGGGATGATGATGATGAGAATGACGAAGTCGTTCTATTGAAACAACCAAAATTAGAAATTGATTTTGAAATAAAAAAAAGAGGAATCCACTTGAAAAAATGTTTTGAAAGACAATTATTGATATATAAGTAAATTATATTTTATTATAATAAAAATAATTGTAAGTAATTATTTAATTAATTTAATTAATTAATTTAATTAATTTATTTAATTTAATTATAATTAATTAGTCTATAACATAGTACAATTTTAGTTTTTTTAAATATAATAAATCAAGTTTTTTGTTCACAGAGAAAGTAAAAGGCATATTTTTGAAAATTTATTTTTATAAAATATAAAAATTGAAGATATAATTTCAATTATTTTAAAAAATTGACTAGAGAGATAATTTTAACTTTATTCTTCATTTTTATTTTATTTTTTAAAAAAGATAATTTCAATGAAATATAATTCAAAAATTAATTAATTAATTAATTTCTATTATTGCAGAACAACATTTTTAAAATAAAAAATAATAAATTTATTTCACAGAAAAAAGAGTAATATTCATTTTTAAACAAAAAACTTTTTTTTAATTTTAATTTTTTTAGATTATTTTTTAAATGAGAAAAATAATGCAAAAATTAAATATTAAAGAGTTTTCATTAAAAATAATAAATTCGTTTATTATTGAGAGTTTCTTTCATCTATATTAATAATAATAATAATAATAATAATAATAATAATAATAATAATAATAATAATAATAATAATAATAATAATAATTCAATATTACATTAGATTTTTAATAAAAAACAATTTAAAGTTAAGTTATACAACATTTCAAAATGTTTGAACTGATTTTTTTTGTCTTTACAGGGTGTCTAACACGGATTAAGAAAAAAATTCCCTGACTCCTCCGTGACATTTTTTGATTTTTCCCTGACTTTTTAATAACCTTATTTCTGCTTTCTTTGGACAAAAATATGGTTATTGACATATTTAACAATAAATTAATTTCTAATGGTGCCCAAGAAGCACGTAATATATCCTCAATATCAAGGTAATATTACACGTGAGATTCGTAATATAACGCTGTAATATTACAGTAATCTTACAGTGATCTTAAAATGTCCGCCTCAAGGTTTTCATTAAAAATAATAAATTCGTTTATTATTGAGAGTTTCTTTCATCTATAGTAATAATAATAATAATAATAATAATAATAATAATAATAATAATAATAATAATAATAATAATAATTCAATATTACATATTGAATATTTCAATATTACATATTACATATTCCCGGTATATTAACCGGGAATATTACTGTAATATTAACGGTAATATTACAGTAATATTACAGACTGATTTGAGTTATTCATAAAGCATAAAAAACGTAAATATATTATAAGTCAATTTGGCTTGTTGGTAAAACTCTGGACTCGTGTGCTTTGAGTTCGGGGTTCGATTCCCTGGATGGGTAGATTTTTTTCGTAAAGAAATGTTCCCATAATATTACTGTAATATTCTCTTGTAATATTACCTTAATATTACGGTATAATATTACTGCAATATTGCTGTAATATTACCTTAATATTAGCGCGTAATATTACAGTAACATTACCGGTAATATTACCTTGAGGCGGACATTTTAAGATCACTGTAAGATTACTGTAATATTACAACGTTATATTACGAATCTTACATGTAATATTACCTTGATATTGAGGTTATATTACGTGCTTCTTGGGTGGTAACAAACAATTTTAATTTTTTTTTAGAAATTTACAGAAATTTCCCTGACTTTGAATGAAATTTTCTGAAATTCCCTGACTTTTCCCTGACCGTTAGACACTCTGCTTTAGGTTTTTAATATTTGAGACATACGTCTTCATATGGCATTATATTATAAATAATAAATAATAATATTATTTTCAGGAGAGTGATATGGAAAAAGTAAACAACATATTTGTTCTAACATGTCTTATTTATTTATTCAACGAAATAAAATTTGACTCTTTATTTATTTATTTTTTTTTTCTTCTTTTCTTTACTCGAATTTCATTCAGATAAAAAGATTTTTCATTTTCGAGAATAAAATATATATGTGTAATGCGGAGTGAAAAGTGTGTTCATAAGAAAAAAATGAACATCCTGATATATATATCAAAGTAAACTGTCAAAAAAAGAGTAATCTTTACATTTTTTTTTTTTTTTTTTTTTTGGTACTCTCTAAAAATTACAATGTATCATTTTTTATGGCTTATAATATCGGATCTGCACATTCCGCGATCATCGTACAAAAATTATATGTAACTTGCTTGAGGTACGCCTATGCGCGCAAGAAAGGAAAGGTACAACAGCGCCACTTACATTGCTACGAACACACCACTCTACGTCTACTGCATTATTATAAAAATAAAATGTAAAATCGTACCAAAGACGAGTTTTATGAACGGTACAAAACTAAGCGTTAAACGCGAACGACTAATTTCGTAGCCTTCGCATTAGATCCCTGTCTTTTTTTTTTTTTTTTTTTTTTTTTTTTTATCTTTCACACATTTTCTTTTCCTTCTTTTTTTTTTTGAATTAAGCTACACTTTTTAACGCATACTCATTTTTGAACCCACTTTCCTCAGGGCGCTACACCTATGATTAGGGATGCGTTACTTAAAACGACTCCAGTCCCTTATATATAGGCTTGCCGCATGATTCAATCTTCGGCATTTTTTTTTTTTCAACAACTTTTCAGCTGAGTTTCTACCGTTCTGCAAAAACTCGCCGAAGTAAGTGCATTTGCATTTATCATACGTAGGCTCTCTACAGATATATCGTTATTTTCCGACTATACCAGTGAAAAAATAAATTATTACGCGTTGGTAATATCTGTGTCGCTGTTCCAAGGTCGGCGTTTGGCGCTTGGTCCGCATCAGCGCATGGAGACAGAAACTCGACTTTTTTTTTTGTTTGTTTCTTTGTGTTTTTTTTGCGTATACATCTATATGTCGATAAGTACCATGCATCATTGCGTAACCATCTCACCAACCATTGTTAATAAACGCCACGAAATTTGTTTTTCATTCAATATGTTCATGCCCGCAAATATAGTTGAACGAGATTTTTCCACGAATCTTGGATCGAGTTTATTCTTTAAATTCTCTTTAACATACACACATACTTTCTATAATAGGTGGTGATTTCACGAGCACTCGCGCCCAGGATGTGGAGTGCCACGCGTCTTTGCTAACATACTTTTATTTTGGTATATATAACACACTCGGTATCAAATCTTCCAAAACTGAGATCGTTTTGAGTCGACTCGGGGAAGAGATCGACGATGCGACAACGTGCGTGGCTCGCTTATCCGTCGACCACGGCTCGTTCACTTTAATTTTTTGTCAAAGGACTAAAATCTCAAGTGTTTATTAAACAATAGATCATTTAAGTTATTGTTTCAATTTACAAACGTATTGTCATTGAATAGAATCTAGAAAGAATAATATCGAGAAACATAACGAAAGTGATATGAAATTATACACTCAATTATTTAATAACTAAAAGGAAATCTAACCCCAAAATTACTATATATATACTCTAACCATTTTCACCTTAACAAACAAATAATGTTTAAAACTAATTTCTAAAACAAAAATATAAAAATTCAATTAAACCTAAAAATTAAGTTATATAGTATATAAAAAAGATATGTTTTAAAAAGAAATTAATATCACAAAAAATTTTAAAAATATACAAAAAATACTATACTCTTAATATTGCGCTTTGAATTTTGAGGTCAATTTTTATAAGGAAATACACAATCGATTCACGAAACAGATGCATGCATAGGCAGATCTTAATGGTGCAGCGTCTCCATTGGGACCCTAAGAACAAGCGTTGCATACACGTCGCGTTGGTTCCCATTTAGTTTAGCATTGGTGACGTTATACGTCTAGAGTTTTCAAATGTTCTTAGGGTCCCATTAGAGGTGCGCATTTTCATAAATAACAATACGTTTGTGATTAAAAGATGAGTCCACAATAGGCATCTAAAAATTCGACTAAAGCTTTGAATCAAGGTCTGAACCAACCAACAACACTATTCGAACGTTTAAGTATACCCATTCTGGAATCACCCTAAGGCCTACGGAAAATAACTTTGTCAAACTCGTTCGTGAAAGTAAATTATAAGATAAAAAAGGACAAAAAAAACATTTGTATCCTTTTCAGTATACTTTATGTCTATGAACAAGTTTCCTGTATCAATTCTGCGTTGTTTTGATGCAGATATTTAAGTTAACTGGAAGTTGTTACCATAAATTTCGGCACTGTAAAATAAAATACAGGGCCTGTTTAATCAACACTTGTCTCGGCTAATGATTTTTTCCAAGCAATTAGTAAAATTATGCCTTTTCCCCTCAGCGAAATTCATCGATCTTATCTTTGAATTTTCAAGTACACCACCGATTCTAAAAGGGGAAAAAAGCAAGTATGATAGTGAACGTGCCGTGAAGTCGACCCAGTGAGATCAATTCGATCTTGGCCGAATTGGCTCTTGACAATATTGTATGTTATTCGCAACGAGGCCATTTAGGAATACAGGGAAGACCTCTGTGTGGTCTCTATTTATCGAGGTAGTCAAAGGGATTTTAGGTATAGTTGTTTGGACAAAGAGGTGTAAACACTTTTTCTCGCACATTCTCGCTATTAGTCTCTCTTTCTCTCTCTCTCTCTCTCTCTTTCGTTCATGCACACATTCATTTTCTCTCGACAGACTCTGTTCTTTTGTTTGTTAAAGAATTGAAGGGGGAGAAGATATTAGACCACCGAAAACGAGTACAGTGAGCGAGCTCGTGCTACTGAAAGTTTTGCGGAGTATTAGTTGGCCACAAGAAGATGTTGATACTGATTGGCCGGATAGGGCGTCACTACGGAACCAAGGCCGAAATTATTCAGACCCTCAACTAAATTAGTCTTGTCCTGCTGTTGGGTGACATTGGACGTGTTAGTGACATTGGCTGAACCAACGGCCAAATTTCCCGTTGTCTGTTGAGTGGTAGCACTGTTCATTGTTCCATAGAATTGGTGTCCAATCGTTGGATCCAAATAGGATGTGGGAAATTTGGTGCTGGTGTAAATGTCTGCCGGCAAATAACCGCCACTATGTCCGGACGAATCAAAAAGACTACGATGAGGAAATTGTGAGGGATTTATGTATGTTGGTGTGTGCTGTAAAAAATATGCACTTGGATCCGAGTGTCCTTGTACACCTGGGGAAAGACTGCGGCTGTTTGGTGATGTCTGGGAAGTAGGGAGGCCTGGTTGCTGTTGATGTTGCGGATGATGATGGTGATGGTGAATCTGTTGCTGGATGGCGCGTTGCTTTATGTAATTGGAAAACTCAGTGGGCGACATTCTGTAAACAAAAAATAGATTATCAGCGTGTTTCTGAATCAATTTTTTTCGGGGAGGTTGAGGATCTTTTCTTGGGAAAGGTAGCAACGGTTATTGTTTAAAAGGTTTGTAATTAGATATTAAAAGGACACACGAGCGAAATAAAAATTAGGATTTCGGGGAATGTAAACGTACCTGTTGGCCCTCTTGCTGCTGGTCTTGAGTTTTGTACTGCCGAATTTTGTTTGGGCAAAAGTGGCTGTAGTGAATGTGAGGGGAGCAGTGGATCTGGGTATGAAACTCGGCCCAGGACTTGGAGAGCTCTTGAAGGAACTTGAGAGAGGAGTGGGTGATGGCGCCGAGGACGAGCCGGAGGCGTGACCATTCTGTTGATTATTGCTATTGGAACCGTTGCTTGTGTTACTGCTGCTGCTACTGCCGCCACCATTGTTTTGACCTCCATTGTTGCTGCTTCCACCCAATGAATTTGGAAATGGCGATGTTGACTTGGGACTCAAGCTAAGTCCACTAAGTGATGTGCCAACCGATTCAATTGGTCGGAAACACTGGGCCTCAGGATTGAAAGTTTTTGTAACCTCACGATCGGCTGATGAATCCTCATGTAAATCGGCTGACTCAGAGTAGAGGATTTTAATGACACTTGTTTCGCCAATTCGATAACTGACCTCACCAGGATCAACCCACACGGCCAATTCAGCTGGTAAATTCTCAAGAATATCCTGAATTGGGACACCACTTTCTTTGGCAGCTCTCTCGAGTACTCGATCTATTGGATCACCTGTCTTGAGACATCTGAAGGCCGAACCCTTAAAGGGCTTTTCTGGATACCAGTGACCCTTGAATTTGTCCTTTAAGGCTTTCTCCAATTCCTCGCCAAATATATTAACACGTCGCCGCGGAAGTTTGTTGTACAGATATGATATTACAAAATTTAGAGCCACTTGCACTTCAATGTGCATTTTGGGCTAGAAGAGCAGTCAATTGTCAGGCAATATAGAAAGCTCTGCTGCCCCAACTAATCGGATATGCAGGTTCGCGTTTTGTTTCTCCAACTCAATTTTTTCAGTCCAAATAAGTTGTCCTCTATTCAATCTGTAAAATACAAAGTAATGTCTCAATTAGTGACTCAATAAAAAAAAATAAATGTTCAAGATTAGAGACGGAAGTGTTTTGTTAGAACTTAATTGAAATGGACTTTTGATTAAAGTGGGTCAACTTATTTAATTTTCTGTTGACTAAAGTAAGGGCCTAGTTCGTTACGTTAAAAAATGTTTTTTAAACCTTCGTTCGCGGCGAAGGAATTTTTTAACATTTGGATCATGTCCAAGATTTACAGTCATCATCTCGATTGCGCCATTTCGTGCACAAGTTCATAACTCTCTTCTCCGGGTTTTATTTTTAATCGTTTTGTCTTTGGCACAAATAGATATATTTTTGCAAGAGTCCAATCCTTTGGAACTATAAACATGTTATTTTTTAATAAGCTTTTTTCGCCCTCTCTCTCTTTCTCTTTAAAGAATATATTTTTAAAACCTTTGAGCTTTTTTCATATGTATGTTATTTGCAATTCACTTTTCTATGTTTTGTCACACTACTTGGGTTGTAGGTTCCAGCAGTTTGGTGTAACATAGAACCAGAAAACGTGTCAGATCAATACAGCGCAACCTCAGTGGAGACAACTCTGCTCCAGATAACAAGTCAAGTATATGAATGTACCACGTGTGTATGTATGTATGTATGTAGTACTATTTTTTTTCATTATACGAAATTACTCACAATATGACTACTCTAATTTAATTAGAAAATGGGTTAAGAAGTACAATGCTTATTAATGAAAACTTTTCTTGTCTTTATATTTAAAAAGGTCAGATGAAAAATGTGTTATTTTGAATTATTAATAAATAAATAAATTTGAGATTCAAACGAAATGATGAAAAATAAAAGGAAAAGAGATGGAAAATAATTCTTTATACGCAAAAAGGAAAATAAATTTTGTTTTTTTTTTTGAGAAAGGGGTGAAAAAAAATTCGTTTTATATCGGAAACAAAAAGGTGGATTTTTAATCACCTTTTTTCTTCAATTTGAAGTCATTTGCAAGACATTTCTAGACTTTAAGCCCCGTGACCTGTATGACGACCTACGCAAACTGAATCTGAGTGAAATCAGAGTTACAAAATTAGACCATCATTGCATATTGCTGACTAATTCTCAAAAATAAACGATCAATTAGAATTATGCGCTCTTTCTCTATATCAGTGAAAATTGTTATTTGAAACCTCTATTTCCAAGTGTTGATTAGAAAAAAAAAAAAAAACCGTTAAGATAACAAGTTTCACATTGAAAAATTGAAAGACACATTTAACGGTAAATCGTTAAATTGCAATAAAGAACTATTTGAAATTAATGTGATTTACGTGACTATATTTGAATGCTTTGTTAAGAAGCTCAATTTTAAATTTTCTTTCTAATTTTACATTTTTTTTTACTTATTTTGATCACTTTTATCATTTCTACTCAATTTTTTTTGGAAAATAAATTAAATCGTTATTTTACTAAAAAAAAAACTTTTCCATTTATATATAACTTATATAATTACTCTGATTAGAAACATAGTTATAAAAAAAGGAAACTTTTTCATTGTCATTAAAAGTGAGCAGCATCCAGACATTAAATAAGCGAGGTGTGCCTTTCTTATTTATCAATTATCTAATCAATGTTTCGCTTTCACACGAAACTCGTGGCAAATTGTTGAAAGTTCCACTTTTGGTCGGGAAACAATATATATTTATATATACTATATACATTCCGTAATTTATAGATTTGAAACAAATTTTTAACTCGCGCAAGGTCAGAGGAAAATAGAAACGTCATTTTTAATTTTCTTGGACATTTAATTTTATAATAACAATGATTGTCAGAAAAGGAAGAACCTTGAAATTTACAATACAATTTTTAATTATATTTATTATATAATTACGCAGGATATTAATTAATATATTATATATATAATTAACGGCATTAATACAATATGTGTATAAATATAATATATAGAAAAAATGTAAATGTAATGGTAAAATTTTTTAAAATTGACATTTTTAAAAATAACCCATCTTTTTGGAACGAAATAAACTTGTTTTTAAAGAAAAAAAAAACCCTTTTTTAAAAATAGAATGAAACTTTTTTAAATAGAAGAAAACTTTTGAAAAATATCGAGTAATTTTTAAGACATTTGCAAATATGATATATATTAAAAGAGAGAGAGAAAGAAAGAGAGAGAGAAGATAATTTTAGCAGAGAAGTGCTAAAATAACTGTTTTTTATGACGCAAAAGAAACAAAATAAAAATTATCAGAATTTTTTTTTGTCTCGACACATATATTTTATGGCTTCAACGGTCAATTTAACCATGAATTACGTAATATACAAACAATACTCGTGAATAAAATCAATAATTTATATAATTTTCATAATGTATATATATAGAGAGAGAGAGAGAGAATTGCACGAAATCCGCGAGTTACTTTTTGTTTCTAGGTCAAATAATTTGTATTTCGTTATCGTATTGATCTTCTTCACGTTATAAAATGGAATAGATAATAGCGAGGCTAGCATATTTGAAATATATATTTTTTTAAAATCTCTTTCTTCTCTTCAAACTGTTTTTTAACACATATCTCAACAACTTTTGGAATGTTTCGAATTAATTTTGTTGTCGTTAAAAAAAAACATATTTTCAAACGTGTTACATGGCAATTGGTTCTCTTATGTTATATATCGATAAGAAAAAAATATATAAAAGCAATTTTGTAAGAGTGTCCTATTTTCTTTAAACATAAAACTATTCCCGGCAAAAACTGAATTGTTCCGGATAAGATATATATTCCTTTCCCGCACTGTACCCCCACAATTTAAAATTCATTCTCCCTTTTCAAGAAAGAAAGATTTTTTTTCACAAAAATTCGAAATATTATATAAAAAACGAGGAAATTTTTGTTGTAATGAAATTAATTAAAGAAATTGCAATTTTTGTCGAAAAGCGTAATTTTTGGCCCAATTTTTTTTTTTATGGCGCAGTAGACCAGAAATGGAAAACAGGGGCGTTGGATTTGGCAAGCATGGAAAAGCGGGAAATTTAAAACAAAAAAAAAAAAATTTAAATATGTAAAACAAAATTTGAGGGAAAATAAATTTTGTTTGCCTCTTTCTTTACTAATATGCCCAATTTACTAATTGTAAATACATAAAGTAAACGTAAGTTCGAGAGACTTGATATACTCACGTGTCACAGTCAGGCGGTTACGTCGAGCCTCACGATGTGTATGTTCTCCTCTCAACGTATATATTTCTCTCTTCTCTCTCTCTATATAGTTGGAAATTCCTCCTCGCGACAAAAATGCGGCTGTTTATGGTAGTTTGTCACAACTCAAGAAACACTTTCCGTTATATATATTTTATATCCAATAAGTATTGCAATAAGTCGTCCATATAATATCAAATATTGTTTTCTCTCGTTGTGCACATATGCTTCCTCATGCGTGCATTATAAATTCTGCAATGACTTTGATCGTTACGGATCGGGCTTTTTTTTGGGGTGGGGCGAAAAAGAGAGAGAGAGAGAGAATGATGTGACGAGACGATATCGGGGTGGGGCGGTTTGCGATTAGGAGAGAGAGAGAGAGCAAGACAGAGAGAGAGAGAGAAATAAGGTGCTGTTAAAATACACCAGCGGGAAAATGTTTTCTTTTTAAATCACTCACTATTTTTTTATTTCTTTTCAAAAATCAAATAATTTTTCACTATTAATTTTTTCAAATTCACAAAAATTTTACCAAAATTAAAAAATTCACTTCCTTTTTGATATGAGTATTATTATTATTATTATTTTCACGCACGCACTAGATGATAAAAAAGTAAAAAAGAAAAGTTGGGAGATAGAACACAAGAAATTTTTGAGAGCGTTGACAAAATTTTGTTCCTCTCGCTTTTTTTTTTTTTTGAATTTTGTTTGGTTATATTGTTTCAAGTGTCGCGCGAGAGAGAGAGAGAGAGCACTGTTTTTTTTTTTTTTGGCCTTATCTCTATTCGTGGTTCAACTCCCCAGCCATATTATTTCGCACGCGAGTACCGCTGCGAGACTGGAACGGTGGGGTTTCGTGAGGAGGCTTACATAGCCTGGTAGTCAGCGGGGGGGAAAGAAGGGCATAGAGAATGGAGTAGCGCGGGTCACGCAGGGGGTTGCGGGGGTGGTATTCTATCGCGCACGAGTAGTAGAAGTCCTGCTATCGGTCTTGGCTCTGCCAACTTGCTACATCGAAATTTTTCCCCAATGCGTTACACACACATTTATGCAGATACACCTACTACAACTAAAAAGCACATTTTCTCACACAAAACTTGTCACTATGCATGGAAAGGTGCATATTGCAATATTGCAACGCAAGCTCGCGGTGATATTCTATGTCAATATTGAGGCAATATAATGATAAGCTTAAAATTATATTAAAGCTTGAGGCACGATTTAAAAGTTCCGCCTTGCATTGCAATATTCAGTTTTTCCATTATATACTCTTGGGCGATTTTTAAGGGGGGCGACTCTTTATTATGTCAAGTGGTATACACGTCAGTCAAAATTCAATCAGCAGACCTCAATGACACCTGATTCGAGGTCAATTTGACATGGAGCCTGTAGAGCTCTCGAGTCCTCTTTTTACCTATACTATTCTTTTCTTATATACCTATGCGAAATTTTATATAGAAAAACATTACCTCACGGAAAAAAAGAAAAAGTAACTTTTACTACTTTAAAAGTAAAATTGAACCTGTCCGAAGTTTCTGCGCATCTCTGGCAACTTTTACTCCAAAAATAGTAAAATTTACTTCAGAAATATAGTAAAAATTACTACGGAAACAGTAAAATTTACTACAGAAATAGTCAATTTTACTATTTTTCGAGTAAAAGTTGCCAGAGATGCGCAGAAACTTCGGACAGGTCCAATTTTACTTTTAAAGTAGTAAAAGTTACTTTATTCGTTTTTCCATTTTTCTCCGTGCTGAAATCGATGTATATTACACGGAGAAAAAGAAAAAGTAATTTTTACTACTTTCAGAGTAAAACTGGACCAACTCGAAGTTTCTGCGCATCTCTGGCAATTTTTACTCCAAAAATAGTAAAATTTATTATTTCTGTAGTAAATTTTACTGTTTCCGTAGTAAGTTTTACTATTTCTAGAGTAAATTTTACTATTTTTGGAGTAAAAATTGCCAGAGATGCGCAGAAACTTCGAGTTGGTCCAGTTTTACTCTGAAAGTAGTAAAAGTTACTTTATAAAAGAAATCTTTTTTCTCCGTGTAGGAGCTTTTGTAAGATTTCGTATAATAAATGTTTTTTGTCACTCTCAGTGTACACTGTAAAACAAAAGGTAATTAATTTAATACCAAATTTAGGCACTAAATTGTCATTTGGTTTTAGTTTGATATACCTAAAATTGGTACTAATTTAGTACTTTCTTTTTACAGTGTAGGGTAGTTACACTGCAAAAAGTTGGTATCTTAATACAAGATGTTAAGACGGAAATGGTAACTTCAATTCGCTTTCATCTTAGAATAAGATGTTAATTTTAATATTTAGATGCTTTATTCCTATTATAAGATCTTAAAATAAGACACTTTAAATAACTAAAAAGTTACTACCAAAACGTCTTAAAAGTGACTACCAAAACATCTTATATTAAGACACTTCTTTTTGCAGTGTATTGATATGCTTTTCACCAAATATACAGTCTAGTACATATTTGGCGAATGTGCCATTTGGGCTGAATTTTGTATATTTAATTATTATATTATTATAATTTCTATATATTTCTATAATAATTATAAAAACTATATATAATGATTCAAATGATAATTAAAATCAACTCTACTCTTTATAAGATATACCGCATATATATAAATAGCATTATAAATAAAAAGTGAAATCAGTTTTTCACTGAAAAAAGGTTCACTGTTTGACCTTAGCTCGTTATTCTAAAAAATATTCTTACTAGAGAAACAATATTATTATATTACAAGTACCGTCAACGAAAAAAATGTTAACTTTTAATTGTTTTTCCAAAGGAAATATTATTTTATTTTAAATATATATAACCACTGTCAATAAAAAGAAGTTATAAAAAAAGTTTGAAAGGAAACAAATAATACGCTGCAGAATGTTAATAAGTGTTATTCATTATAAAATAGAAGATCCACAATTTCTTGGCGTTCATATGAAGACCGACCGATTGACAATAAGTCTATATAGGAAAAAACACTAAACTATATACATACTCTCCTTTTGGTATTTCTTTCAAGATAAGAATATATATACTTATTTTGAGAGAGTATTTACCTTAAACTACAAAACTTTTAATATAGCACATCATTTGAAACAGGTGAAAAATTTCAAAAAACTGAGTTATAATTCACCAACAGAAAATTAAGTTCATGTTGTACTATATATATGCATATATATATATTCGTGTTACCAAGTAGCCGAGCGGTCAAGTTCGAAACAAGGCGTTACACAATGTACAAATTTATTGCATATCCATATCAACTTTTATGCATAATAATAAAACTTCATTGTACAATTGAAAACAAAGGAATTATGAAAATATTTTTTAAAAAAAAATTCGAAACAAGGAAAGAAAAATATGTAGAAAAATTATTTTTTTCTTCGTTTTAAAAGTTTTGATGACAATAATAAAATTTTCAACCATAAAAATGGATTAATGTAATTAGAAGTTGAACCTAAAAAATGGAATACTAACACAGAAAATTAAAAGGCATTAAAATAAGCTGCAACGCTTATTATTTTAATCCAATTTTGCTTATTTTAATCCATTTTGGCATTAAAATAAGCAAAATTGGATTAAAATAATAAGCGTTGCACCTTATTTTAATGCCTTTTAATTTTCTGTGAAATTATATATATAGAAAAACTATAATTCATTTAAAAAGTGAATTTCCTATATGTATTAACGATGCAAAAACGACCTTAAAGTAAGGCGAATGTTGGCTCGACTCGATTCATCTGCCACGTAATCAGCATGTTCTGTTTGGACGTCAGGGCCGTGCCAACGCACGTACTCCTAATCAAGGTTTCAGGAGCTGGAATGCTCCGGTTTCATCGCGACGACAATGTTCACACACACACACACACTGCGTGTATGAGAGAGAGGCTCAAGCATCACTAATTATAGACATCCATAGTTGTTACACATTTATTTTCACTAAGAAATCCTCTAAAAATGTATCTCTAAAATTAACGCCTTAGTGTAAAACATTTAATAATAATAATCATTGATACTTTTGCACCTTCCAAGTCGTATTTTTCATTCTCAACTATTATAATTATTTTTCAGCTTTGTAAATGTAAAACGTTCAATTTGGATACATATGTGATAGTTGCAGATCGATTATTTATCAATAGTCCTATTTCTCGGCAATTTTTATATAAACATCATGTCATGTAATCACACGTAATATGTAATGCATCACATATGTAATACAATTTATCGTGTGTAATTGCATAATATGTATGGTATTGTTAAAAATTATGATTGGTAATGCTAAAATTTTTATTGCTATCAACTTTTTTTTAGTAACAAGAATTTCTTGATTCTATAATTTGACCTACATTTTTGCTTTAAAAGATGAGCAAAATATCGTCTTTTAAACAACTTGTTGTTTTGCGAACAAAAATTTTCTTCAATTTCTATATCTACAAAACTGCAACCATGGTTTTGAATTGAAACTCATAAAAGCATCATCAAACTGTGTATATGTATTCGAAGAGTGTCTCTCTGAATTTAAAAATTTCGTTAAATAAAGTGTATGTATAATAATTGAGCATACGGAGTGCATTCGCGGCAAAGATGGATTATCGTTGAAGGTTCGAGGCTAAAAGCTTGAGCTCGATAGCTCGGCCACGGTCACGAGGCCTTCGAGCGTGTACGGGACGGCGTTACGCAACCGCACAATAATTGTTCCTATAGAGTTGCGAGCATAAAATGCATCGCGCATGTCGACTGCCAAGTCTAGCTTCACTGATGATGGCAGCCTACGTCTGCACATAATCGTCAACTCTTCCTTTGCCATACGTATATATGTTTCTCAACACAAACGCCCAGATATACAAAAAAATTATGAAAAAATATCTCATAAATATCATGAAATATAATCAAATTGACAAAACAAAATCATTAAACGAAATTTGCCCTGTTTTAAATTTATACATATATGTACTGCTGTGTTTCTCGAAAACACGGTAGTTTACATATATATGTTATGTAATTGAAAAAGAAGACTTGTAAGATTTAGGGACAAGGAAGACCCGTGATTAAGCCTATAGAGTACAGTTTGTCCTATAGTGTTTTCATTTTTTTTTTTTTTGAGAGAGAGAGAAAGAGAGAGAGAAAATTACATTGTAAACTTAACATCACTGTCGATGAATGTTCCTGGACTCTACTACTAATATGGATGCAGCCGACTTCTTAAGTATCGCTGCCAAATGTTGTGAGGCAATAATAGCCTTCTTTTTGTCTCTGCCAGCTCACCACTCCTCAGATGTTGTTTTAATTTAAGACACCCTCAAATGTCACGAATACACATTCCGTTGCGCACTGTCTCGCGAGAAAACACAACACTTGGCGCACTTCAAGTCACATATATAGCAATACATATATATATTTATTTTGAATAGTAATAATAATAATTCTCCATTTACTTTTATCGATGGTAATTCATTTTCCTTTTAGCAACTCTATTGGGTTACCATTAGATTTGTCTTTTGGCACAATTTCCTCTTTGTTGCCGTTATCCAATCAGCGCAAGTTTGCTGCAAGTTTGCAAAACTTATGCAGCTTCTACGGCTGCGCAATAAATTTTTTAACCTCTCCGAAGCAGGGTGAAATATTTTTTATACTTGTCTAAATCAAATGGCAACAATATTTTCAAAATTTGAGTGATAACTATAACAAAAATTTAAGTGGTATATATCAATATAATGTAAAAATAATCTTTCTTTTAGAAAATTTTTACAGCAAAATTGCAAACTTAAATGGAAGCCTTCCTCCCATAAAAGAT